ATGTACTATTTATTTTAATTTACTGATACGTGTACATGTACTTTAATTTTTGTCAGAAATAATCGTCAAATGGTACAATATCCGCATAATGATATGGCCAAGGTTTCTATATAATTCAGCTAGTATTCTCTTCCTTTTGATTAAAGTCAGGTTGATGAGTGTCTTTTATCTTTATACTACGGAAAAGTATATGCAAGTATTTCTGACAATCTAATTTAGAAACAAGTATTCCTTGTCCTTGCTTTGTCATTTATTTTTTATTTATAAGGATACCTTTGTTCTCACAGCCACCCTTTCTTATAATTTTACATGCATTTTCAGGGATGTGTGTTGTAAGTAAACTACCGAAATATTTTTTGCAAAAAAAAAAAAGAAATTTTATGTAACATTATATTATTTTTATTCATTCTAAAAGTTCAATTTTACATCTAATACTGTGCACTTGGTCCAAATTTCATAGTTGTGTTTTGACCCCAGGGCCATAATTTGAACAAACGTAGTAGAGGTCACAATGTCAAATATCTAACCTCCAGCCTTTGTCAATTAAAAATTTTACTTTATACATATAGGGAAAACCTATGACACCCGGGATGGGGCCAATTTTGACACAAGTGGCAAAATATGAACAACTTTGGAAGAGGACCTATAGATGATATTATATATTTAAAATCAAAACTATAAGATACGAAGACGTTTTAGTTTTTACTATATGTACATGTACATAATAAAAATGAATGACCCCCAGGGCGGGTCCAGTTTTGACGACTGTGCTACTAAACAATGTTTAATGCAAAATATCAAAGCTTTTGGCCTTGTACCCAAACAAGAAGATTTTTTAAATTATCCTTTAAAGTTATTTTTTCATAGATTCACTTCAAATCATTCTTATTGTATTCATATACACTGTATTCATTATTCATCTGTTGTGAAAAAGGTTGTTATGAAGATGTGGTGTTATAAAAGCACCCTTTTGTCAGATTTATGAAATGGCAATGCCATCTGAGTTGACTGAAGTATCAAGCCAGGAACACCGTGAACTTATTCAACCATTAAATCTTAAAAAAGATAAAACTTATAAAAGCAATTAAAAATCTAATGCATGATTGCATGCATAAAGTGTTACTTTCAGAAAACTGTCAGAAAACAACACAAACATATAATTCTTAAACAAGAAGTATCGTTAAAAAGATACTCGGCCGAAGTAAGCCTAGTTAACTTGTATATGTTATTTCTATGTTTTTCGTCTCATATTTGACAAAATAAACTATCTGGGGCTATTTATCTTGAAAAATAGAACACTTTGAGATGTATGCATGTGTGTCGTGTTTCAGTAAGTGAAATCAAATGCTTACACCAATATCTACGCGGTCGGTAGGCAATTATATTTATAAATACTTGAACAATATGTAAAATATATGCAAATTATAAACATTATGCCAATTGAACACATCAATGATTATATGATATATTGAACATTTATTGAAGATCAAAAACTGAGGAAACCTAAAAGGTGGGATTTTCGATATTTACATGTACATGAGTAAACTTACAGGACCGTGAACGTTATTGGTGGTCTCGTTAATTTGGACAAAATTTAAACCTCAGTAAGTTCTTGTGTAAAAAACTATGTAAAATAAACTGTTAACTAGAAAATGTAATGAGATCTGAACGCAGTGTATAATGTTTTGTGGGAGGGAGTTTTAACAGAACTTAAATATCTCAGAAATTTAACTAGAACGTTAAAGTACTATCCTGTACATTTTATCTTTACATATCATTTTATATTGGCAAGATCTACCCATTACATTTTATTTTAGAACTATCCTTTAAATTTGTATTGTAGAAGGGCAAGACCTCCTTTACATTTTATTTTAGAGTGGCCAATGAGATTCCCTGATAGTTTGTAATTTTAAAATGACCAATGGAAATTCTTTTCCCTATAAATTTTACAGGAAGTCAAATTGATTTAAGATGGCCTTCGGCCAAAAAATTAGACAATTGAAACAAGGGAACAATCAGGCATAATGGTCAAATTGCACTGTGAATATACATGTTTCTAGCCAGCTCTGTGGTTTGTTAAATATCTGGGAAAAAATACTTGAAAATTGCACACCCGGTTTGATTTAGTCTGTACATGAGGGATAATGAAAAGTGCAACATCCGTCACTCCCCCTACCACCGGCTTGAGCGGTACTCAATTCTCAGCACTTAAAAGTGCTGGACTCAAAGTTATGCTGTCTCACTTTTCTAAATCGAGATAAAGACATGAATACTTAATATTAATTTATGTTGCTAATAGAGCAAATTACAACTGTAGTTTTAAAAAGGTTTAAGCTTCATTCATGATGACACATTCATGTCCCTGTCACACTTGTAAATAACATACGTGTAAGATCTAACGCTGACAACACTTTCATACATATTGAAATTACCAAATGAATTTAGCTTTATAAGCAACTGTTTAATCACATAAGTCTTGATTACAAAATAAGTTATGTTTTTCAGCGCTGATAAAGGTAAACTCCACCTATGTTTTAGCTTACCTCAGCTTTTGGCCAAGTAACCAATAAGCATTGAGCGTCCAACAGGTAACACCGCCAACAGTTAACACTCTAGAAGTCACAGTTTTGATTGGATCTTTATCTAAATTTGCCAGAAATATCATATTAGCGGTCCCTCGAAAGGGTCAGATCAAAGAAAAACCGTCTACAGAGGTCACATTTTAAATTTGGTCATCAATCTTTGTTAGAAAGATTATCTCAATGATACCTCGGATGAGTTCGAAGACATGTCATATTTGGTCGAACAATATGGTTATCAGGTCAAGTGAAAGAAAAACTTGTTCACAGTTTACAGGTCACTGTTTTGATTCGATCTCTATTAAATTTTTAAAAATGATTACCTCAATGATATTCCGGGCGAGTTCGGAGGTAATGGTTTGAATCCACTTACGCACTTTCGTGGCATTATCATCTATTGAAATTTTTGGAAAACATTCTGGTCTACAACTAGATCTATGACAAAGACAAGACAAAAGGTGTTAGATTAGGGAATAACTTTGAGAATTTAAAATGAACTAACATAAAATGGAGCGAAAAAGTGAAATTTACCTTCTTTGATGCAATCGCTGTACTTTCCAGAAGAAATACAGAAACCAAATCATTATTATATATATATCTCTGGGACAACAAACGTGAAGAAATTAAAAGAAATATATTGATAAACGATTTCGAAAAAGGTGGTATAAACATGATCGACATTGAACGTTTTGTAACTATGCTCCAAATCAATGGGTAAAAACTCAACTTTCAAATGGAAAGCTATCGACAAAGTCGGCAAGAATTTTCTTACATGGACCTAAAATCTGTCTCAAGTTTATCAAACGACTTTTATACTTTGGCTGGTTTCTATAAAGAACTTATTAAAAATGTATTTTATATACAAATATTAATAACAAACGTCCAAAACACCTCTTTGATATACGTAGAGAAATAATTTGGGATTATGGACATATTTCATGTAACAAAAATCTTTATATTTTTATAATTGAACAAACTCTGACATTATTTTTATAATTGATATTATCGATGCAAATGGCGAGATCAGTGAACATCTTATTCTTTGAAAACTCAGAAACCAATTAAATTGGCTATACTGCAACTTAAAATCCAAGGAATCAATCAAAACTACAGTATGGTGTTAGTTATGAATATATTTATTGCTATTTCATGCAAAGTTTAAGACAAATCTATCAAACAGACACGAAATACTTTATGCATTAACAAACTGCATTTTTTTCTTCAAAAGAGAAAGACAATCTTTTATGTTACATAAGCAACTATAGAATAAAGTATGTCACATAGAATTAGATTTCATATTTCTCCGATAGAGTTACGAATTTTTATACAATCTACAAAATTAATTGACTAAGAAGATCTAGGTTTTTTTTTATAAATTCACCCGATTCTTTGCTGAGAAAAAGAAAAGAAAAAAAAAAGAAGTGAATTTGAAATACCGTTAGAAAAAAGTTTTCAATCATATCACCAGCACAAAATATGTAACGAGACAAACAAGTGTGCTTTAATTATAACTAAATGAAACTCTGCTGACCGATTCATTTGTAGGTAAGGTATGAAGCTGCAATGGTTTTGAGAGGTGTTGTTGACGCTCCAGGTTACAAAAATGGATCCTAGGAGGTACTACACGAAGAATTGGAAAAGTGTATGAATGTCATGGGTGGCAGAGCACTAGGTGTATGGGTTCGTGTTGGGAAGAAGTGGTGGGTACGTTATTCTGTAAAATATATGGGGCGGAGGTTGCGTTGGCACTGCAATGATAGCAATGTTTATAGGACAGTTTTATCAAAAAACGTAAAAACATAGTGAACTAGACTAAATTACCATCTACGGGTCATTATCATTCTTGTAGCAAATCTACTGAACATAAATCATATAATTGAAAAGATGGCCACATGAACAATATTTTTCATAAAGAATAACCATATACATGTATTCACATTGAAAGCTAAAATTCGAAAATATCAACATTTATTCAGGCTTAAAATCCAAACTAAATAGCAAATGATGCCTAATTTCTGATTTATCTTTGTTTAAGTGTTGAATTTCGCTTAAGCCGGACGGTACCCAGTACCATTAATGATTACAGGCTCTTCAAACCGAGCATGCAATGTTTTCAATTTTGTCGTTTTGGGGCGTTCTTTAGGGGTTCCGTTTTTCTATTTGAAAACTAACGAAAAACTGAATTACAAATGACGCAGAATATTTAAAGCAGGTTTACCAGGGCTAAATGCCTTTTTAAAAGATACTTCCTGTTTAAATTCTTAAGTAATATGGATGTATCAGTTTCACAAGTATGCCAGTAAGATGTGTTTGTACGTCCGCCTTATATCGGGTGACTGTCAACTGATCGCTTTACTTTACATTAATTTTGATATGCAAAAAAAATTCCCTTACAATTTCTTTGTCAGATAGAGTTGCGTAAGACGGTATATAGACATTGTTATTTATAGACAGTGTAATTTCTAATTTTAGATATAAAAGTTTGCTGCGTAAATATTATTGGAACTAAAAATGATACAGATTCATTTAGTTTGCTAGTTCTGATGCAGCATTGTGTTTATAAAGCAACTTTTATTTAGAGTTTACAAAGGACACTTAAAAGTATACCGAGACATATATTTGAAATGGCGGATTATAATCGAGTAAGTTTGAAGGAAAGGTATGAAGCTGCTATGGTTTTAAGTGGTGTTGGTGACGCTCTAGGTTACAAAAATGGATCCTGGGAGTTTTGTCACTCTGGAAAACAGATACACGAAGAAGCGAAACAGTTGGGTGGTGTAGACAATATCAAAATAAACCCAAAAAGCTGGATGGTCAGTGATGACACTGTAATGCACTTAGCGACAGCCGAGGGCCTTGTAGAATTTATTAACGTCGTGGAATCGAAAGGTTTAAAGCCAGAACCACAGGAACGAATGTATTTGAAGATTGCCGAAAAATACAAAACTTGCATGAATGACATGACCGACAGAGCCCCAGGTACCACGAGTATGTATTCGTGTCCAATGTTAAATCCATCAAGAAGTGGCGGGTACATTATTCCATTTCTTGAATGGGGTAGGGGTTGCGGGGCGGCGATGAGGGCAATGTGTATAGGATTGTTTTATCCAAAACCTGAAGATATAGGCAATCTTATTGCAGTAAGTGTTGAATCCGGGCGTATGACACATCACCATCCAACCGGGTACCTAGGAGCCCTAGCTGCCGCTTTATTTACATCATATGCCATTCAAGGAAAACCAGTTAAGAGTTGGGGTGCGGGATTAATGGAAACATTGCCGAAAGCTCTACAGTATGTGAAAGATAGCAATATAGACGTGAAGGATAACGTTAATGCATGGGACTACTTTACTAATCGGTGGACCGAATATCTAGAACTCAGAGGCATTTTTGACGGCCTACAGGATCCGAAATTTCCAGAAGTATTTGGCGTGAAAGAACGTGATGCTTTTTATGAATCGCTCAGTGATAAGGGATGGGGAGGTTCAAGTGGTCATGACGCTCCTATGATCGCATACGACGCTCTCCTGAGTTATGATGGCACGTGGCCTGACCTGTGCAGTAGATCAATGTTCCATAGTGGTGATAGTGACAGCACTGGTGTCATTGCCGCTTGTTGCTATGGCGCTATGTTTGGATTTTATGGAGTTAACAAAAATAATTACACGAACCTAGAATATGGGGAACGTCTCCGCGGGCTTGGTGAAAAGTTGTATGCAATTAGTAATCCAAGTGATACAGGAGTTGTTGAAAACGTACAATTGGAGGACCAGGATTGATTCCTGACCTAGACTTCCTGCAGATGATAATGAACAGGACATGGCTTGTTGAAACGAATTCAGGAAAATGATGAAGATCCTGATATTTTTTTAGAAGGAAAACTACACAAGTTAACTAAATGAAGTAGAATAGTTTCTTGCTCAAATTGCTTATACATGCATAATTCAAATGTACAATATCTTTGAAAATGTTTGTATCACAGTTGCCAATTTCATTCTTAGAGTGTTGGCCGGATAAAATGGGAAGGTAGTGATTGGACAGACATTACCTCTCTATGCCGAAGTTGGATTTACCCTAATGGTCGCCATTGAAATATATTTGAAGCTTTTTTACTACTTTGGATATGCATTTTCAAGTTCAGTAACATTATTATCTGTTTCTTATTAATCTTCAGTTCAACTGTGGTAATTCTTATGAAATGTTAGTAAAAGCCGTCTATGACTTTCTTATGAACAAGTTATATACAACATGTACTTAAATTACACTTTTCACATAAACTTCTTGTTGACAAATATGCATATACACGGTCTGTATAACATTAAATTTAAAAATGAAATTTAGTTATCTACTTTTCTTATTCATATATTCATTATTCAGCAACTTTGGCTATTTTTTTTAGTTCAAGGTGAGTAATTGTGATACTGCAATTTATCTTAAATAATCATTAAAATTCAAATTGACAATCCAAATACAATGTATTTAAAAACAACCAATGCATGTCATAAATAAGATAAATATATGTACCATTACTAAAGTTTTGTACAGAATAAACATTTATAAGGTGGCCAACCTACGAAAAATGATATGGAGTTTAATGGCGGTACACATAAACAAACCGATCATAATCAATACTAGTATTTCTCAAGCTTGTTCCCTAATTTAAAATCTACATTTTGTAATTTAAATACAAATTGATGCAATGCTAAGCGCATAATTTTATCATTTCCCGATCTCAAAATGAAATAGTTTGTTCAAAACATTCGAACCTCGGTTTTGAAGACAATGCATGTTTTCAACTAAAATTTAGCATTCCTGATTTATGGCATTTTGTTGCTTTAATCGGGCTTCTAAGTACGTTCAGAAATTTGGAACATATTAAATAGTTAATGACTTGAATGAAGAGCGAAATTTAATGATTAGGTGTGAAGCAGTATTTTGCAATTTTTATTCTCGGCTACATTTTTTATTTTGCAAAGACTTTTTGGGTATTGGCTGACAAAATCTGCGAATCACCTGATGTGAAATCTGCACATTTATGTTAACCAAATCCAAAAATAATACTTGTATCTGAACGTTATGATACAAAGCTTGAATTTCCGCGATGGAAGAATATAATTATTTTCAGTCCAACCGGTTCTTATTTAAAAAAAGAAGCTATATTTCACATTTTGTTCATAGTCTTTTCAGTTTTTGACAAATTCTAATGATACTATTTACAATGTAGTGTACATGTTATTAGGATCTCACATTCGTTGCCTTAAAGTAAGTCCACTGATGTCCACAGCCTTTGCATTTCTTACAAATATCAAAACAGAGAGATGTGCTAAAGATAATGAAGAAATATGCTGAAAAAAAAGTTTATAGTCGTGCTTTTGTGCTATTTTAGCCCGATTTGAATGAAAAGCGTTGCAACGCGTTTCAATGTTGGGTCATTTTCCACATTTAGAATACATGTAATCAATTTGAACGAATGAAACGTTGCACATTAGTTATTGGTCTAGACCTACATCAAATGAAACAGTAATCTAAGAAAATTATTTCCAGTCCCGTCATGTCAAAAAGCTTCCCATTAAATTATAAAATGTTGCTGGACGGGTTGAAGAAAATGCTCGCTTTTATAAAACATTTAATAAAATTCGGTATTATATAACAACAAACATTTAATATATGACAACGTTTTTGAGATTCTATTATTAACATTATGACTAAACGCATTGAAATTAATGAAAATAAAATTGTGGTGTTTTATGCCGATGTTTTATTACTGGTGTGAAATATACATAAATACAAATGGAAATATAACCTGTGATAAAAAATGTGTATGACCATGCGAATTTAGCCAGATTTGCGTTGCAATAGTTTTTAATTTTGGGCTATTTTTCACAATTAGAACAATTATTCTGGAAAAACGGAGTGAGCGAATGATTTAAAATGTTGTTGTCAAGTTAGTTGTCTTGACCTACATCAAGGAAACATTAAACACGAAAAATCATTCCCAGTCCGGTCAGGTCAAAAACTCAGGGAGTCCCTTTAAATTTTGCATGATAAAAGCGAATCATGATCGAAACGAATAAAGCAATTAGTAAGGGTTCACCATCTTACTCTTTCAGCTATCTGCAACTGAAGGTGAGCTGTTTTCTTTCTACTATTTAAGGTCATTTATAGGAACAGGTATCTCAAAAACAAGCTTTCTGATACATTATCATATTTAAAATCTTTTTTGTTAACCCATTTTCAGGAACTATGCAAAGCTTGAAATAATTATATCTAAACTATATTTTTCTATGCTTCAATAAGTAAACATACTGTTTTTTAAAGGACATAACTAAAAAATTAGAGAATGGAATATCAATCAAAGAAGGTGTTGCTGTATCAGTTTTGAGTTATCTACCCTTGACAATGACCTTAAATCCTCGAGGGGCAGATAACTCAAAAAGTAGGATGTTGACCCCCGAGTTTATGCTTGCTTAGTTTAAGAAAATTCTCTCCGCTTGTTTGAATTATTAAATCTTCTTGGCTTCTATAAAAAATATATAATCTCCAATTAGGGGCCTTCTAGAGAGTCATTGGTTGTCAAAGCTTACCATATTTCATTTTGTATTTTATGTGGTAATAATACATTGTTAAATACAATACATAATTATATTGAACGAGTACGCAGCTGTAAAAATTATATTGAACGAGGCTAGCAGCTCAGTTTTGAACTCGGCAATGTCAATAACCTCTTTATTTCACACAACCAATCTTTTAACATTTTGAAGTTTGTTACTTTAACAACAATATGAAATTGACACAGATTTGTTTGGACTCGGAAAATGAAAACGAGTCTAGACAGTGTAAGTATGGATTTGATACTCGGAAAACAAAAACAAGTCTAGATGTAGTAAAATATTGTATTTAAATGGATTTTTTAAACTCGTAAAATGAAAACGATAAGATTTGGTCCAATAATTTTCTAATTTTGAAGAACACGTGGTGCAACCGATCAATCAGTCAATCAATGAATTTATCTATTTACTCAGATCATACAAACATGACAACATGAGGTAATAATACAATTACATGTACATAATAAATGAGGTCAGTATCAAAATAACATGATATATAAATTGTTAACATAAATATTGCGGGAGAGTCAGTGTTACAACAAATACTTCAATAGAGTTCTCCACAGCAATAAATTTAATACAATTTTTGGCTCATTTGAATCCTAATATAATTTCTTTAATAAATAAACAAAGTTTTGTTGTTGTTTTTTTTTGTAATCAGGAAGGTTAACATTAGTGTTTATAAGTAGATCAATAGAATGCATATTATTTTTCTTTAAATAGTTAGGTTTCAAAAAACGTTTCCTGCTGTTATCAAAACACGGACACTCAAAAATATAATGACCAATGGATCTATCACAATGTACAGTTCGATGCTATTCCGTTTTCCGGTTTCTGCTTCTTGTTCTAAATTTTATTATATATTGCAAATATTTTGATGGAGTTTTTACAAGATATGTTTCAAAACAAAAATTATGTTTAGATAATCTATAATTCGTGCATTTGCTAGAATTCTCAATACCAGAATACATGTACTACTCGATCAAAAATAAATCTGATAATTTTTATTTAACTGACATCGTTAACCATTTATGGTTATGAAATTCATGGTAAGTCAAAATGTTGTAAAGTCCACATTCATTTAAAATATTCTGAACAAGTTTTATCAACTGAAATCTTAATCTAGATACATTCCGGGAGTTATTAAAATAATACTAGTAACAAAATACGATATATCAACCACGGTAACTTGTTCTGTCGTGGTATGACTAAGTTAGACCAAAATGATATAATTTCAATAGATAGTGGTTTAACACCAGTTTCACCGCACACCATACAATTTGGTGTACTTGACTTTAAACCTAGAATATATATATTTTAAAAATTTAAGCTGTACTCTTTCAATACAATTTATATTACCAAAACCCCATAACTCACATCCGTACAGTAAGACAGGTTTTACAATTTTGTTAAATAAATCCTTGAAGACATAATTGTTCTATGGGTTGTGTTGTTAGTTTTTTTTTTCTATTTGATCTTTTTTTCTGTTTGATTGGTTCAGGTATTCCTATTTGAAAACACTATAATCACCATAAGGATATGTTGCCTGCTTTTTAAATTTGTCTTTTGACGTGCAGGCATCATAACATTTGATCGAAAATTGATCCCCTTTCAAAATAATGTTTTATTTAGTTCTGCACATTGTTTTCTCGTTTAGGGCACACACATTCTTTTTATTGATACGGAACAATACGCACCCTTTTCATGAAATGGCACTAATGTGTAACATTGAAGGTACCAAGATTTCCGCCCCATGAACGCTTCTGCGGATGTTTTGAAATTTCACTTTTTTCATGTTTAAATGTTGAAGCCGGTGTAACAGGGGCGTGGACTGTAGCTTGCATTAACCACTAGTATCAAAATGTATTTAGTTCGTGTGTCGTATAATGTATGACTTTGATATATTTATCACTGAAATTCTGAATAGAATACAAAAAGTTTGTATATATATACACACGGATTTATTGTAATATAAATCCGTGATATATATAATATTTTCGGGGGGGGGGGGGGCAGGGGGGTGACGTCGGTGCTTTTGGACAATGCGCTTTAATGAGGGATAATGTTTTCGAGGTGGGCGGGGGCAGGGTGGTGGGAGTGAGTATTTTCGACAATGCGGTGCCATCTTGTGCCTATGCTGGGCAGAGTCCACATACGAGGTTGAAAATGGTGTTATTTCCCTGACTTTAATTCTAATTATTTTGTGTTAGCTTTTAATTATATCTAGGACATTCAATTTTCTCTAATTATTAAGACAACAGTTTTTCCTTTGTTTTGCGTTTTTAACGATTTCTAATTTTCTTAACAGTTGTACGCACGTACGTACGTGCATATGTCTAGCAAAAATGTTTCAATTCGTTTTTAAATTGGTTTTGAAATACAAGAACGAGCTAGGAAAAATACTCCATATCACTTGATGACATAGATACGTGGGATGACCTATTGAGCAAGTAAAAAATCTGTATAGTGCAGCTTAAATTACTGTTTCAAAAATAAGTTTTTTTGTAAAACATGTACTGTAATAAATTCATAAAACGTTGAAATTTGACAGTTTTCACATGTACATCACCAATTATGTATATTCTGTTTAATTTCATGTGACGTACATCTTTCAATAATTGTTTAAAATATAGTGTTACGTACCCCACCCACATAACTTTTAATAAATTTAAGAAAGGTAAAGTAGTTTCTTTAAAAAAAAAACAAAAAACTTTTTGATTACTTTATGTTATTATAGGGTTAGATAAAGCTATATTTTGAAGCATATTCACTTATTCTCACGCGAATTGTGAAATTGATGTCGCTGCACATTCTGAACATAATCGATTCAGAAAAACTTGCTATTTGATAGCTAACGTGCAAAAAGTATATAATGGATTTTTTTGATCCATAGACTTCATTGATAACACATTCGATACCAAAATTTTATGAGGGAAGCTTTTGGAAATGTAATGTTCGAGACTGTCGCCATTTTGGATTATTCGTGTTTGAGCTAGTGTAACCCCAAAAACCTATATAATTTCGGCAAAAAATTAATTTGTGCAGGAGTATGTATGTCTTCTTATCTGTTTTCGAAGCTTGACCCACTTGAAAAGACTGATCTTTGTCATATGTAGAATGTTTGAGAACTGTCGCCAAAATTTACTGGCATCGGTAATGTACGCGACTTGTAAATTAAGTGCCGAATATAACTGAAAATAACTAAGTAATCTAAGTCGTTTATATGTTTATTTACAATTAAATACTTATGCTACTATAGCCAGACTTATCTTTCTTATGATAAATTCTAAGAATTAACCGAGATTCTATTACTTTGACAGCCTGTGCCAGATGATGACTTAAGCATGTAATGTTCGCTACTTAAAAATTAGTACGTTCTATGCACTATTTCCCAATTAAGGAATTTTTAATAAATGATTTACATTTGGAGGGATATATAATAACCAAATCTGAAAGAATTGTGCCCACGAATCTTTTAATATATCTATATACACATATGTCTGTAATGTACGCGACTGTAATGTTCAATACAATAAAAATGTAACATGGCTTTAGTATACTTAATTTTCAATTAACCAGGACTTAAACTAGTCATTTTTGTGTTATACTTAATCATAGATGCAGCATAAATGTATACATCCTTTGTATTTTTACAGTTATAATCAAATTTTCTTAATTTTGTATAAGTAAGGCTTTAGAATCTAGTAACTGAATATCAGATTCTAGTAACTACAAAAACAAAGATGTAATACGTTTAATATTTATTTTCTTCTAAAGCCAGAATCTGTATGCAAGGTTTTCTTACTGAAATTGTTTAGATATAGATTATAAGTGATATGCCTTTCATAATAGGTATTGTAATGTTCACTACATTTCGTATCGAACATTACTGAATTATTCTGATGGCAATCTATACATTTGTTAATGTTTTCAGCGATTTTGCTTTTGTTTTGAGAAAATATTCCATAATTATATATTGTTTAAATAAAGTAAATAGGTGTTTGTAATTCAAATGCGTAAATATATATGAGGCAATATTGTTGATTATCATCTAAATCAGTTTCAAACCCATATAACGTTTCACCGCGTTAGTAAAAAAAACTACTATTATAAACATACATATAATAACTGAACATATTATCAGATACTATTAACATAGTTGCTGACATGTTTAAAATATATCATCTACAATATTATACACATGATAGCGTCTACAACATATAACAACGATGTATCAAACATTACAATATTAGTATCGAACATTACACGCAGATCTTGAAAATTTTCTTCATCTCTACAGTCATGTATGGTGAAATCTGTATTAGAAATGAGTGGCAATTGCACTTACAAGTGTAGAAGAGGAAAAGACAACGTTGGCTCTTTGTAATTGAAATATTTTAAACTACGTAGGAAGCACATAATAATTAACAATTAAAATACATTTTATCTCAATACTGGCTAGTAAGGTGCCCTTTTTGAAATGTTCTGCTCAAATCTTAAAATTTGATGTAGCCTTAATAATATCAAAAGCATGAATTGTAATATATGTATTGTTATTCTGTACGCTGCATATATGCCCACGATCTCAGTAAATATGTTTTATGACATTGATATTAATATAAGGACAGGTATATAACTTCTTTTGTACGTCGGATACATAGTTATACTCGTAATTTAATTTGTTTGTATATATTATTTACCCATGCTATTGACTCAAGCTAAATTGAACACACTTAATAATATTAAGTTTAAACTTAAAAAAATGATTGTATAATAAAATGATAATAATAATAACCATTACCATTACCCACAACGAATATTTTTACTGGATTACGTAATGTCCGAGACAATTGATGTTCTGTCAAAAAGACTCTACCACAAAATTTTAGTCATGTTTTTGGGTTGCAAAGTTTTTTCGTCACATTATCATTATTGAAGTAAAGTTTAAGCAAAACATAAGAACAAAAAAATGGAATCACACAATTGAAATCAATCATCAAAAATTCCGCATTTTAAATAAACACACTTTGTAGAATTGCGTTTTATTGCAATAACTTTGCAAGCTCAAGAAAAAAATATTTCAAGCGTTTCATAGTGAAATATTTTGTTATTTTATAAATGTAATGAATACATGGCAAAAATAAAGTTTTCTGAAGTGGATATATTTAATATTTCATATGAAATTCGGAATGTTTTAATTAATAAACTGGTAGTAGCGTACATTACAATAGGATAAATTTTACAACTAGGGTTGCTTCTTTCAGAGAGTAGTACTCGCAAAGTATTTGGTTGATGTTCAAAAAATTTCACAATTGTCTCATTTAAGGGTTCTACTTTTCGAAATCTTCGAAATTAGGCCGTATTAAGAAGATCGATTTTTTCGACTTTTGATCTGTCAATTTCACAATTCTTATGAGAATCAGTGATTATATATGAAATTGAATGTGTGTCTTGATCTATTATTTTGAGTTCACCAATTTAGATTTTTCTAGACTTTTGATATGTTATACAATAATTGAATATAGGTTTGGGGTTTTAAAACACTCAAATGCAATTTGTTTGACGTTTGAATGGATGCAGTTATATTTGGGTCTACACCTTTAACCATGCGAAGCTATTCGTAACCCTTACATGACAAATATTTGTTTACATTCCATTATTTTCACCCGCGTAATAATGGTATCGCCCATATTTTGACCAATCATAAAGCTTATATTCTGACAGTCAGTTATTTCGGTAACATCAAAAATTGAACCGCGTTGTGTAAAGACTAGCAAACCGTGAAACATGCGTACGTTTACTCAAGGTGTGGATATATTTAACTGTAAAATTTAATTGGATTTATTTTGTTATGAATTATGGCATACCCGTCACGTGCTCCTCCGCCGATACCACGTTATAATCAACGTTCAGGTGGACAAAATCACTCGAGCTCACCTGGTTACGCTAATGAGCCGCTACAACTTCAAACGACACCAGCCCCAAGTCACTCACACCTGAGTCACCTGTATAATGGGCCGGGGGTAGGGTCAGCACAGATAAGTCCATCAAACAGAAGTCCGAGATATAAGGATGCAAGCGATGCACATAATAGGTAATTTAAAAAATCACATAATATTTATAATTAATAGATAATTTATAGATATGTAATTGTATGAATATTACACAATTTACAAATGATGTTCCTGTCATTTGAAATAAGCATCAGCTGTCTCTTCCTTAATGGGATGAGCATCCAAACCTTAGAGGGTGACAGTATAATATCACTTAAATTTTGAGACATTGAATTCATGATTTCTTAAGCGCATGCCACAGGCGTTGGCTCATTTGTCTTGCCAAAAATGGTCATAACCATAGCTTGATCATCACGACCATAATTACTATCCAGCACCCGTTTACTTTTATGTCACTGGGTGCGGTAAATGTGCAGCCTGACAGGGCCTCAAACCCTGGACCCTTGGAATACCGTTCAGCAGCTCTACTGACTTATCTACTGTATACAGCCGCTTACACATCTTCTCCCCAAAATAATGAACAGTTCTGCACCGTGAGATACTGCCCCGCTTTATTGAAATTCGTACCCGTTGTTCTCAGGGTTACAGAGCAATGCTAAATAAACTCTGAGCTATATGCAATCACGGGGCCTGGGTTGGGCGCCAAATGTCATAGTATGAGGAAAATGTGCAGTTTGACATGGATTTTAACCTGGGACCAGAGGAACAGTGTTCTACCAACTGAGCAATATGATATTGCTGCTTACACATCTCCCCTAAATAGTGAAAAGTTCTGAACTGAGACATATAATTATTATATTATACATGCAGTAAATAGGGTGCAAGATTATTTTATGATAATTTGACCATTACTGGCAGACAAATGAGCCAAGACCAGGTGCATAGCTGCCCTGATGCCTAAAAGCCTGGGTTTGCTCAATGATTTTCTATTTTTATTCAATTTATGATTAATAAAGTAGATGTACCTTTTCTGTAGGTACACTGTAATTCATTCAGTCCCATCCTTACATGTATATGTACCGAAATAAATTTTATATGGTTACTTAAAATAAGTTGCTTAAAACATCATCAGGGACAGGGTCATAAATCTTTTTTTTTTTTCCAAGATGGCAATGAACAGTTTTAATTGAAATTACCTTGATATATTTTGCATTGACTTTTAATTTTGTGATTCCCTTTATAAACTTATAAAATTTTTGCATTATCCAGGTAAAGTTTTATTATAAAAGTGAAATGATTGAGAATAGTCTGGCAACTCCGGCTGACTACCTTTTCTGCATTTAGTATGTATACCGTAAAATTCCTAATAAAAGCCCCTCCCCTAACAGAGGCCCCCCAGGCCTTTTGTTAAGAAAAACAATCTACTCATCAGTGCTGAACTCCTGAGTAAATCCATAATTTCATTCAAATCATTCAGAATCCATTTTATTTTATAGTATGAACTTTAAAATCTTAACACTTTTTAATGTTATTACCAACACTTGCTAACACTAAATGTATTTACAATGATTTTTGGATTTAGGAAAAACTGTGTTGTAGTAATAGCCCCCCTTTTGGAAAATGTTTAGCCCCCGGGGGCGTTTAATAGGAACTTTAAGGTATATATACTTAAATTATTTTTTATTTCAAATTTACTTGTTTGACATCATACTATATTTTTGCCAAAAACATGTATATAAACAGGATTTCTTAGTCTCAGACGGGAATTTCACTGAGGTCCGTTAAAGCCTAAAAACATAATCAAAAATTTGAATTTCTTACAAACAAGCTACCAGGGCGCTTAAAATGGAAAGATATGCAAAAGATAAAATAGAAATATTGCTCAGAAATAAATTAAATATGATATTTTTGTGTTATTTATAGCCTGATTTGATTGAAAAGGGTTACATATATATAACCGAGGCCAGGAGTTACAGCAAAGCAACTTTGATGATATTTAAACACTTATAATTTGACAATGACATATATGCAGAGCCATTTTTGCTTGCGCTGTCTACAATCCTAACTCTCAGTTTTGCTTGCTATAGATTTCATCGTGGCTCGAGCAACTTTGACCAGATACGTATGGACTGTCTGCGAAGAGGTATCATGTTTGAAGACCCAGATTTTCCTGCCAATGATACGTCCTTATACTACAGTAGAACACCTCCCTACAGATTTGAATGGAAAAGACCTGGGGTAAAACATTGTCCTTTACTTGCTGTATCTAGAGAAGATGGATTGATCTAAAATTTCCCTTTAGTTGAGTCGTCATTAACACATTTATTCTTGATGTGCTGGCATTGAAAATAAAAGGTTATGCCCAATAAAGGGCCCAGCAATAGAGGCCAGTCAACACCTTAAAACTATTGAAATTAAGTGTTCTTTTTAATATACTAATAATGAACTACACAGACATGGTCAGTTTTGCAATTAAATGAGATAGACTTGTTGATATTAATTACATATAATAAGTTTACCTCATATATTTATTAAGAAAGTAAAATTTTGATCTATATGGTGACAGTAAAATATATAAATTGTAAATAACATGTACCAGCTTTAGTTGTTATGATGAGGCTAGAAGAAATTTAAGATGATATTAGCTGGGTTAGACACTTCTTTTCATAAGAAAGAATTTAATCTAGCTTAAATCTGTGAAGCAAAACAGTTTTAATATACTTTTACAACAGGTTTGAAGCTACAGAAGTTTTATTTGATTATATATATTTGGAAAAAAATACAGAAACAAAACCAACACCTTTTGTTTGCATAAAAGAAGATAAAAATATAATGATAAATTCTCCACATTCCTGGATATGATAGTGCATTTATAAACCTGTAAATATAAAATGTGTGTCATGTTTTATACCTGAGCCACAGGTTACATGTAAACATAGGGATTTCTGTTGAGTGAAAATTTAGCAGTAATTTGTAAAATGTCATGTTTATGTATGATACATTATATTTGACTGTCCCTGTAGGCATTCCATAAACAGTAAACAGAAATATCTTCTCTATGTATCTTTCTTTAAATTCTTGAGTCTGATTATTAGATATTATACACTTTACTTGAAAGAATTTATTGCTGGATATTTAAAGACCATAGTTTTGAATTGAATTTTGAATGATTGCAGTTTTTTTTTCAACATGTGATTTATGAAATGCAAACAATAACTAAAATATGATTTGTCACAATTATTTACAGTTTTTGATATTGGTTACATTAAACTTGATTCTTTAATTTCAATGAATCACATATGTATTCATTTACTGGTAAATAAACAAATTTAAACCATTTTATGCATTGCATGGTTGAAATTTTCTCATTTCACATACAATTTTATCAAAATAGCAAAAAACATAAGTTGTTATGATAGCACAAAATTTCCCCTTATTCTATTAAGTTTTGATCAGCATAATTAGTTTTCCCTTAAACCAGCGGCCTACTTTCCCCCTCTTGCAATGAAAGCTTTGCTGTTTTTTACATTTGAATAAAATGATTATGTGAAATTATAAAGAGATATTCTTATTATTTGCATTAATGACACTCTTAAATGATAATAAATAAACCAATACTAAATAAGCATTGATACAAAAACAGAGTAAACACTATGTTTTCAATAGTTTTCATTAAAAACATTATCTCTAATTCACTGCTGGTGTCAAATTTTCAATATATTTAGTGTGAAGGAAATTAATATATTTAACCATATAAATGACAAAACTTTCTCAAACTAATTTACAAGCTATTTAGTATTAAATTTTGAAAGGTACACATATTTATAGGTTTGTGCAAATTTATCTTGATATCTGTAAAAAATGTTTTAAAGAACATGTATATTTTACCATAGCCTACTGAAATGATTTTAACAACTCTCACAGCACTATTGTATGGTATGCTGAAAAATTCATAAAACTTAAAGGTTTCACTACATGATGTACTGAAATAAAGGAAACATTTGGTTTAACAGCACTACATAATGTACTGAAATAAAGGAAACATTAGGTTTAACAGCACTACATGGTGTGCTGAAATAAAGGTCACATTTGGTTTAACAGCACTACATGGTGTGCTGAAATAAAGGAAACATTTGGTTTAACAGCACTACATAATGTACTGAAATAAAGGAAACATTAGGTTTAACAGCACTACATGGTGTGCTGAAATAAAGGAAACATTTGGATAAACAGCACTACATGATGTGCTGAAATAAAGGTAACATTTGGTTAAACAGCACTACATGGTGTGCTGAAATAAAGGAAACATTTGGTTAAACAGCACTACATGATGTGCTGAAATAAAGGAAACATTTGGTTAAACAGCACTACATGATGTGCTGAAATAAAGGAAACATTTGGTTAAACAGCACTACATGATGTGCTGAAATAAAGGTAACATTTGGTTAAACAGCACTACATGGTGTGCTGAAATAAAGGTAACATTTGGTTAAACAGCACTACATGATGTGCTGAAATAAAGGTAACATTTGATTTAACAGCGGTACATGATGTGCTGAAACAAAGGTCACATTTGATTTAACAGCACTACATTAGATAACATTTGGTTTAACAGCACTATATTACAGTGTACTTAAATAAAGGTCACATTTTGTTTAACAGCACTACATGGTGTGCTGAAATAAAGGTAACATTTGGTTAAACAGCACTACATGATGTGCTGAAATAAAGGTAACATTTGGTTAAACAGCACTACATGATGTGCTGAAATAAAGGTCACATTTGATTTAACAGCACTACATGATGTGCTGAAACAAAGGTCGCATTTGATTTAACAGCACTACATTAGGTAACATTTGGTTTAACAGCACTATATTACAGTGTACTTAAATAAAGGTAACATTTGGTTTAACAGCACTACATAATTATTGTACTGAAGTAAAGGTAACATTTGGTTTAACAACACTATACTATGAGCTTAAATAAAGGTCACATTTGGTTTAACAGCACTATACTATGTGCTTAAATAAAGGTAACATTTGGTTTAACAGCACTATACTATGTGCTTAAATAAAGGTAACATTTGGTTTAACAGCACTATACTATGTGCTTAAATAAAGGTAACATTTGGTTTAACAGCACTATACTATGTGCTGAAATAAAGGTAACATTTGGTTTAACAGCACTATACTATGTGCTGAAATAAAGGTAACATTTGGTTTAACAGCACTATACTATGTGCTGAAATAAAGGTAACATCTGGTTTAACAGCACTATACTATGTGCTGAAATAAACGTAACATTTGGTTTAACAGCATTACATGATGTACTGAAATAAAGGTAACATTTTGTTTAACAGCACTAAATAATTTTGAAACATGTCAACCCTGGCATTAATTATTCAAGTTATTTATTCAATTTAAATTGCGAAGAAAGCTTGTAGCTATTTGATACTACTATAAGTCTGCTTCTTTGAATGAGGAAACATTATCATGACACAAGCATGGTTAGAATCCTTAATCACTGGTATGAGTGGCAGACACAGTAACACCTAGGCTACCTCTTTCCTGAAATAATCTGGTTTCACAGCAATACATGGTATACACTGAAAAAAATCAAAACCTGTTTATTGGCACTAAATGTTTCCTGAAGTTAATGTCATTAATTTTGGTTTCATAGCACTACATGCCGTACATGGTGAACATGTAGATATAATAGAGAAATTTGAAAAAAGAATTAATGTGGTTCACCTGAAGTAATCATTAAACATTTTTAAAGCACTAAATTGTCGACTTGAAATAATCGTAACACATTTCACAGCACCACACTCAGGTCTACTGCTGTTATTATGCCAAGCTATGCAGCACTTTAGAGGACATTGTTAACATGTATACTAACATGATTATGAAGCACAACATGTTACACTGAATGTATAATGTCAAGTTAAACAGCACACCATGGGCTACTATAATAATGATTAAAATGACCGCACTACATATGCGTCAGTAATGATAATAAAAGTTACACAGCACTGCATGGGCTATTGTAATAATAATAAAAGGTACACAGCACTACATGGGCTATTTTAATGAGAATACAAGTTACACAGCACAACATATAATAAAAGTGAAACAGCACCACATGGGCTATTGTAAAGATAAAAATTAAAGTTAAACATCACTATATGGGCTATTGTAATAATAATCAAAATGACACCACTTAACATGGACTTTGGTGATGATAAAAATAAAAAAGTACACAGCACTATATCCGGCTTTGTAATGATGATAAAAGTTACACAGCACTATATGGGCTTTGTAATGATGATAAAAGTTACACAGCACTATATGGGCTTTGTAATGATGATAATAGTTACACAGCACTATATGGGCTTTGTAATGATGATAAAAGTTACACAGCACTACATGGACTACTGTGATAATAATTAAAATGACATGGGCTTCTATGTTAATTATACTGTAGTCTGTATTGATAATAAAAGATATAATAGTGAACCAGTTACTGTTTAGCTCAAGTACAAACAGAGAAAGAAATTGCTACACCAACAACATTTTGACATTTTCCATTTTTGACTTGACATATCTTACATGCAGATAAAAAGACATTTAATGACAATCTTATTGCAAGAAAAGTATGATGTACCTGTCACCAGTGTTTTTATCCTGCGTTTTCAAGCAAAACTTATAATATTGCTGTTTTTTTACTTCTTGTCATTTTGTTTACATAATACTAGTATGCTTAAATATTAAAAAGTTGGTTAACAAATTTTAAGTTTTACTATGCTAGAAATTTTGATGCATTTCTATCTATGTGACATCAATTCATTACTGTTTTTACATAATTTCTTTATTTTGTAGCCTGCCTTATAGAATCCCCCTATTTCAAACAATTATTGTTAAGTGTAAAACATGCTGACAGTGTTTGAAGAATATACTACAATAATTTGTTCATTATTGCAATATAAGCATATAAATATATATTTTGTTTTTCTTTGTAATACCCAGCAAAGTGTATAGGTATTATTGTATTGTATATATTTGGACATTTATAATTTCACCTAATTTAAATTTTCGCAAGCTTACAACTATTTATAGTGTAATACTTTAAGCCGCTCTTATAACATAGTGTAATTTATAACTGTGGAATTTATGCCATGATAAAGTGTCCAGGTCCAAAACTATCCAATACAATTTACTATGTGTTCATTTTGTAAAGTATGTTTAACAATAAGGTTATAAATGCTCAATTGTTAACCTTTATCTAACATTCCTATCGATGACTACATTCCATTCAAGGTACAACTGGCTAATAATGTTAAATGTTATAGTAAACTTGACCACAACCCCTTTATAAAAATTTTAAATCGCGTTTGATATAAAAACCATTAAAAACTTAAGCTGTTTAATCAATGAAAATATATCAGTTTAAGTTGAATTTTAGTGCTATAATCATTTTACTATATTGATCAATGAAATGTTATTAAAGAAGTATAAATTTTTACACATTGTAAATGCTTGTTTGTTTATAGAGTGTTAACTTAATTAAGCTGTACTAAAATGGGGTGTCTTGATTTTTATTTCAGTTGTATTAAAATGTTGATTGTAATGTTAAAACTCAGCTTAAAACAATATTCATGGGACCGCCAAATTTATATCATTGATCATTATATCTGGATATATCCAAGAGGCAACCAATTTGAAAACAAGAGTCTGGACCGCAGAAACAGCATCTTTATAAACAGATATCATTATAAGTGGATTTTACTAAATTATAATATAATGTATGATGACTTGAAAGAAAATTAAGAATTATTTTATCATTGGTCAGTATTGAATTTCCAAATTAAAGGGATCATTCAGCAAAAATAGATTCCAAAACTTGATATAAACTAATTTTTAATTTGTTAAACCAGAGTAATAAATATTCTGAAGAAAAACAAATGAAATGAGATTGTCATAGAAATCTGCTGTGTATATTGACAGTTTGAAAAAACAAAACAACCCTGATTCTTTAAGGAAAGACAGCACTAGACCTTAAGTCAGATATTGCTGAATATAACAGTTGTTATGAATTGTGCGATGTCTTTCTTTTGTTTGAAAATTACTTTACATTTAATACTTAAATATAGAATATATCATTAAAATTTGTACTTCCATTCAGGACAAGAATCTTGTTTATGACTATACATTGTCTTATAAGTAAACATTGTTATAACACTGCATATTAAAATTTTAGCATCAATAATTTTATATACCTATAATGGGTCCAGTATAGATTGAGATAGGTCACACTCTGTACATCCAGGAAGCCTGACACAGTTTCTACATTATTCACTGCTCAAATTTATGATTTTGTTATTATAACTTGTAATTAACAAAACAAACTATCAAGATATTAACCTTATGATCAAAAGATGAAATGGTCAAGGAGGGTCTGACACAGATAGATATTTGATAAGTGGAAAAATACTTTTGAAACTTGTTGCTAAACAAGTTCTTGCTACTGATATTAATCACTTTCAAGTCAGGCTCCTGGAACTAACCAGTTCTGGTGTCATATGAAGAAAACATGGTTGGAGCTAGAGTAGGTCTCGAACCAACATCCCTAGATTGAGGGGCTGTCACCTTTAATTTACCACTAGCCCAGCACTCCCCTTGAATATTATTCTTGTTTACAGGATATAAAGTGACACACTGTAACTTTCTGAAAGCTCAATAATGATATAAACAAAAATCTTTTTGGGGTATCTAAGGATGGTTGTATAATATTGATAATGATTAATGTAGTTTTGGGATCGGCTTTTTGTAGTTTGAAATAAGAAATTTCGTGTCATAAAATGATGACTGATAACCTGTATGTATATACAGAAGCTTTAAAACTGTTGTTAAAATATATGCCTACTGTAATATAAACATGTCACCTTTTAACATTTTTTTTTTTCAAAAGAGAGTTTTGTTTTTAAAATGCAATATGTTAGTTATAGAACACAGACTCCATCATTTCTAAAAGAAAATAAAAACCGTGTTTGCAGAAAATGTTAAAAGCAAAATACAACATGCATACAACTGTATGAACAAGTATGAATAACAAACTAACGGAAGCATTTAAATGATGAAATGTTTTTTATTGATATATTTCAGGAAATATCAGGATACAGTAGACAAAAGCCTTCTTTCTTCATTGATGGTGCCACACGATTTGATGTGAAACAAGGAAGTTTAGGTTTGAATATTTCTTATTCATTAATTTGTGGAGTTACTATAGTAACAGAATACACTGAATGCTGTTTACTGTGAAGTTTTAACATGCTATGATTTCCAATAAGAAGTCTTTACATGTATATAGCATGACAGAAATTCATGACAAATAAACAGAATGAATTTATGTCATGGCATAAACTTTTTAAGTAAATATTGCCATATATAGAAGTCACACGCAGACTTTAATGCTGATATGACTTAACAAATAAAGAAAATCTATTACATATAAATTTTAATATAGTCTGTTGTCAGGTTTATATTATTGTCAGATACAATCACCAATTGGAGAATCATTAATTATGTGAGCATCTGACTGACAAAAAGATATTAATGTCACATTTATAAATTTTCTTACAATCATATTCATGTAAATATATATAGACTGTAGTGCACAGTTATGCCATACAGTCAGCAGAAATTTTACTTACATGATTTCATCAAATTAAATGAGGTCATATTTGACATAATAGAGACTTGCCAACATTCTTTCACCAAATTATAAATCACAAGATAGTTTGAACTGTGCCATTGTTTAATAGAGAAATATTGCACATTATGAATAATTTATTGTCATAATTATTGCATTTTTTAAGCATGTAAATGGAGTTATATAATGTTGTTAGGGTTAATATTCAATTGCTTACTCCCCCATTTACTGTCTTCCAATAATTCAAATGCAGTCTATTCTATACCTTATTCATTTTCATCCCCCTCAACCCACCCCCACCCCCCTATTTTACCAGAAATGGACTCCATTTAATGTGACTATTGTTTGCTTTTCATTATCATAATTACAGAATAAGATTTTCTGTTTTTGAAGATGGTTATACATTGTCATCATTTTAATTCAAACTTTCAGCATATTAGTTACTATTTATTAGGTTGATGGTTTGACAAGATTTATGTGTATAGGTAAAGGCTAAGGTTTCCTAGGTTATTCTAAGTTCCATTTACATTTTTTTCTTTAATTTTGATTTCTCATGAAGAAGAGCCTTTAAGATGTCTTACATTTTACAGGGGACTGCTGGGTAGTTGCTGCCGTTGCCTGCCTCACAAGTCCCGACCACCAGGAACTGTTTCGACGAATTGTACCAGCTGACCAAGGATTTCAAGATGGCTGGTATGCGGGACTGTTTCGGTTTAATTTCTGGCATTTTGGGAAATGGAAGGAGGTTATTGTTGATGACAGATTACCAACATACAGGGGAGAATTGATGTTTGTACATTCACATCAGAAAACAGAGTTCTGGGGAGCTCTTCTAGAGAAAGCTTATGCCAAGTATGTATTCAGTGTCAACAATGCATGTACCATTGATTTGTCACTTATATCTTAACAAACACACAGAGTGACATATATTTCTTGTTTAAAGGAGATTATAATTCTAATGTATCATCAACATTGTGGAGCAATATAAATTAGATAGTTCTATTGAAGAGATAAATTCATCAATTCTACTTCTTAGTAAATGATAGTTGCTAAAAGAATTTTGTGATGGTATGTCATGTCAGTGTATGTAGACTATAGAAATGAGTCAAGTTTGAAGACACTGCAGTCTGTTTGATTGAAAGATCATTGAAGGTGACCCTGAAACTAAACACTCATTTTGTATTAACTATTATTCCAAAGAATTTATTTGATAACTTGTACTACTTTAAAATAGAACTTTTATATCAAGGAATTCAATTTTGAAATAATCCTAATGTATAGAAAATTTAACAGTTTAGGGCCAGGTCAGGCTCAAAGACATGCAGGTTTTCCCCCTGGCTGAATTTTTAGACATGTATTGTAGCTGATATAACTTACAGTTCAACTAACAAAAAGAGCATGACTGTAACATTGATTATTGTTACTGTATTTTTATGGTCATATGAAACAATATATAGACGGTAGTTATGGATTATTAATTATTAATGTTACATTGCATGGGAGACTACAGTTAGTAGAGAAGAACTAAATATCAATACATGCTTATGTACTTGTACATGTAAATGATGTATATTAAATGTATAGTGCCAAAGAACATTATGAAAACTTTCATACATAAGAAATTGAAGTACATGGTATATGTAGTTAATATAATATCATTTGTGATTTAGGATGCATAGCAAATATGTTTAGATGTACCGTATATAAACTATAAAGAATACCAGTACTTTTGAAGATTGGTTAGATTGGAGTTTTGGTTAGATGTAGTTTTATTGGTATTAAGATTTTCTAATTCCAGCATGTGCTTTATGAAGAAATTAAAATGTGCAAACAGAATTCAGTATTTTGTGTAACCTTTAATGATAATTGCAGTTAGGTCATGATGTTTTACAGCATGTTTGTTAATGGTAATTACCCATTCAAACATTTTTTCTCTATGTCAAAGTTGTCTTTATTTCTATTAGTAATTATTATAAGTTCACAGTAGCTACTTGAAACTATCATATGTTCTCTTTTCACTTCAGATTATACGGTTCTTATGAAGCTTTAAAGGGAGGTAATGTAGCTGATGCTTTAACAGACTTCACAGGGGGAATAACTGAGGGTTATATTTTACGTGGTCCAAATACAGATGTGCCAAGAAATGTTGTCAATATTCTGTTTAAAGCTCTTGACAGACAGTCACTAATTGGCTGTGGAATTAATGTAAGTTTTAAATTTTTCTTATGTATGTAATAAAAATTGCAGTTTCTGTCTTTGTTCCAAAGGGTAAATATGCTGTATTATTTTTTTTGTATGCAATAGGAACTTTAAGGGTATTGGAAAAATACTTAAAAAAAAACAACTAAAAAAGAGATATTTGTTTTTGATGCCTTACTTTACAAAAGTTTACAGTACCTTTAAATATTCTAATGTATTTAAGTCAATTATATTATCAGAAGTCAACAATTATACATATGTTATACATAATGATTTTTTATTGTAGTCACTAAAAGGGTCAGCCACAGAGACTGAGATGGCCAATGGTTTGATAGCTGGGCATGCTTACAGTATAACAGACCTTAGAGAGGTAAACACTCATCATTGTTATATCATTTTATTTAAGACTAAATATAGTGTATTTGTAGTAGTCACTTGCAAATAAATTTATGTGCTATCGAATTGAAATGTATAAATATGAGTGTTTCCATATACATATATATTATAATTGACATTTATCATCATTCTTTGTATATACGAGGTATGTTCAAAAAGTTCGTGGATTTTTGCTGTCATTTTTTATTTGGTTCATAAAAACACCCTTAGTGAATATGAATCGAAAGAGTGTCTTTATTTTCAAAAGTAAAATTTACTTTTATTGTTAACTTTTATTTCCTTTACGAGTTATGTGCACTTTAATAACCATGGCAACGCAACATCGGCGCACGCCGAAATTTTCATATAATGTTTAAATATAAACAAATGATGAAACAAATTAAATGATTGTTTTAAGAAGTTAAATACAAGTAATCATCTATTAATATTTAAATGACATAAATCTGACTTTTGGCGTCGTTTGGACGTCGAATAGCTTAACAAACAAGTTTTGAGCAGCAGTAGACAGACGGGTAAGTTGGGAATTATAAACCCCGTTTAAAAACTAGAAATTCGCTCTTTCGAAATATACTCCTTTATATTTTTATAAGGTGATTAAATTAACGAAAAACAATGAATTGTCGAGCAAGTCTCTTGGCTTCAGGTCGCGCAAGCGATTCAAATACGGCAAATACATGCTCACAGACAGAAAGGGCGACGAATAATTTTAGCGGCATATTGTTGGGACGTTTGTAACGTCAATTGCAAAAGATCTACAGAAATTAGGGCATTATGACAGTTTTGCAAGATGTCCGACATGTTTAATTTCTGCATCGGGTCTATGCATTCAATTCTGACAAAACAATTTAATTTAATTAAAATAATATTTTATTTCATTCATCAGGATATATGCGTATTTGCAATAAATACTTGTAGTTATTATTTGTATTTCCTGTACTTACTCTGGTCCGTTTGATAATTAATGCTAGCCGGTGTTCAGTAGATTTACCGCTAAGAATAAGTGTCAGTTGATAAAATATTTTCTTTATCATCGATAATCATAGTGTTTAAAGATCGGACGAGGGCGGTTTCAAATTGATACTATCAATCAACAATTGAATTAACTTCATAACACTGTCCGTTTAGTGTCTAAATTACTCAAAAATCCCGATAAAGAGCGGAAAGTATGCGGCACTCGGACCTTTATACGGAGAATGGAGCGAATAGATGATCACTTTATATCTCGGGTCATCATCGCAAACAGAAAAATGGTTTTGGTGTATGATCCGCAGATATTGAACACTAAAAAGAGTACTTTCAGAAACAATGACGCTGGTAAAATGTTTCATTTATATTGCGACGTCATGAACGTCATTTTGTTTCATCATCAGCGTGCGCCGGATTGTGCACCCCTTGTGATTTGTAACTGTCACAGAATTTTTATTTTTAAACATATTGTATTGATTTTTTCACTGTTTATTAAGGACATATTTTCATATATATTTCTTGTAAAATCATATACGCAAATTAAAAGATGTGAACAGTAGAGCCGCAGTCCACGAACTTTTTGAACAGCCCTCGTAACATACTCTTCTCATGATATTTGTTGCCGCCTAATATATTCATTTAGGTAAAAAAACTGTATATAATGTTTATATGCCTAATAAAATATTGAATTGAATTGAAAATTGATACTTTAAGAATGGTAGAGAGAGGTTGACTACTATTTATTTACCATGTTTAATCCCTATTGAATTTGTAGTTACCATAATATGAAACATTTAAATGAAAAAATGCTGTAATATGAAACATTTAAATGAAAAAATGCTGTAATATGAAACATTTAAATGATAATAAGTGTGCAAAAAGTACAAGGAACTTCCAAAATATTCATTACACAACATAATATATTCAACACAACATGATGTACTTTCTAGCTTGAGCTTATTCATCTTTTCTAAAGTTACAACATAATATGATATGGCTTTCACCCCAGCAGCAGTCTGGTATTAAAATACACTTTCATTTTTTGAACAAACAATATAATATCCCAATTTTATGTTCAGTTATATAATAAGGTTTATATTATTTTTAACTTACTGTTTCCATAGCATTATTTTAGCTAAGGATCAGACCACACAATACTGGTGAATGGTTTATAGATATTATTTAAATTCCTTTAACTTATAATGAACTAAATTCAAATCAGTGGAAATCTATTACACAAATTTATGCCCAATACGGTGTATGTAAGTTAAATTCACATATTGCATTTTAGATAATCTAAAGTTGCATTAAACTTGAATATTATAGCTCAACATTTGTTTTTTGTTGTTTTTTTTAAGGATATTTTTTTACAATTCTTGCGATATTTGCTATTCATCACAGTTAAAAGATGTAACATTCTATATTATTTTTCAACAGTGATTTTTGTGTAAAATGATTTCAGTAATAAACTAGTTTCCTCCCCAAATTAATTGTTAAGCTTCTTGTAAATGATATTTTATAATTTACATAAATAAGTTTGGCTTCATGCTATATGTAGATAAGATTGAAATAAAAATTCTAACAGTGTTTGTAAACTGCATTATTCTCAGATCACATTGTCACATGTGTATATGACCACTAAATTAGTACCAGTACCTGCATACAAATACAAACATATTTAATGTTGAATCACAATTATAAATGTGCAGGGTTATTTAATGAAATATTTGAAGATTATTCAAATCTTATTGAATTCTAAGATAATGATCTGTACATGATGATAAGATTAGGTTGATTGTAAACACTGAAATATTATGCACGGCTAGTTTCTCATGATAAAATCACATTTTGCATACAAAGTAGAAATTGTAACTATGGAGTTTGAAAGATGATACATAATGATTGTATAAAGTTAACTGCTCACATGATGGCTTTGTGTATTGTACATGTTAAATAAACTATGGTTGTGAATTATGCCAAGGTAGCCTTTTGCTCTGTATAAAGGGGTAGTGTTACATTTATATTATGTTTATTTGTGTCAAAGTATGAATGAGAAGGGGACATAACTGGGTATATATTGTCATGTAATTGTTCTCCTCCCATAATGCACCTGTGAAGGTCATGGTCCCTGATTCACTTGTAAAATATTTGATAAACTGTTGATTTATTCAGTGGTTAGACTTTTTTTTGACTATTCATTACTCATATTGCAATGTTTCATTATTTCTGTTTACACTAGCAAATATAATGTTGTTTACTTATAAAGATGTCCATGCCATATTATATATAGAGAGACATATTCAACTGGTACATAAATTTTGCTGTTTCATCCCATACAAATTTAACATGATTTTTTTGTGTGATAAATTGTATGAAACTTTTTATAAGATATAAAGATGTTCCCTTTAGATATCAGTGCCTTAATCTTAAACATTTAAAAATAGATTTTAAATTAACATAAAGTTATGGTTTTATCGTTGATTTTGAAAATTCTCTACCACATGACCAATATTACTGAATTAGTACAATGTACTTACAGTTCATTCATTTGTTCAAATTTCTCATAATGTTTTTAAAATGATTTGAGAATTTTCATGAAATCGTATGACAAAATTTATAACCATATTAATGAAGCAAAAGTTGTTAATTAACTTCTAATTATAAAAAATTAACTAACAATTTTGTTATATAGTAATTATTTTAGTACAAGCAGTGGGATCAGACCACCAGTGTTTACCAAGGTCAGTTAAAATAATAATTTAAATAGATTGTACAGTCTGACCCTGCTCTATTCTACAATGTTAGTTGTTCAGTTTTAGTATTTTTGGACTGAAATCCCATATACTAATAACAGACAATTTATAGGTCGAAGCATGACACAAATTTAGCAGAATAACAGTTAAGTGTTAGTGATTGTTTTTTTTTTCAGATATTACTTATGTCAGATAGAGGTCAAGTGCCTGTAACCTTGATCAGGGTGAGAAACCCCTGGGGCAGCAGAGTGGAATGGAGGGGCCCCTGGGGTGACAGGTCTGTATTAATTAGTAATTAATACTGTCATATTTCCTTCTTTGAGAAATATCAGTCTATTTCCCTGTCAGCCTGTCAGCAATACTGGTCACATTACTGTTAGTTATTTTAATTAGAAATTGATTATTTCCTTAGGGTGTTCATTTCTCTGCAATCCAAAAATAGCTGTAGTTTGGTTCATTTACAAAAGGGTATTGCATTTATATGAGAAATGGTGGTGACTGATGGAATGGTGTCTTTCAAATTGATTTCTGGTCCAATCCTATATCTAAATAAAGAATTGTCTAAAGACAAAAAAGCAAAATGATATAATCTATTATAATAGGTATTTTACTTTTGATTTATGTAAATAATAGACATGTATCTTTGAAATATTTCTTATATGAAAGGTTTTTTAATCAAAATTTGTACTTCAGTAATGCTTAACATTTCAGTTCCAAAATATTCATGATTTAAAAATAATTGTGTTGATTACTGTATTCTGATAATTCAGATTATATTCAGACAATAGAACTTAGTAAATGTTTTTGTTTTGAAAACATGTTTTAATTGCCAAACAAGTTGCAACCTTTCATTTTGAACAAAATTGAATTTTTAAACCAATTGAATTGTAGTTTATTTAAAAGTGTAAAGTATTTCTGATTTACTGTCAATATACATTTTATAATGATTTATGTATACAGATCAGCTGAATGGAACTCGATACCTGACAATGAGAAGGAACGTATGGGGCTGGTGTTTAGGGATGAAGGAGAATTCTGGTACATTAATATTTTAATTACAATTTAATTATTGCTGCTGTGGCCATTGGCAGAGAAAAAACAAAGTTTGGATTTAAATAATAATATTGAACAAGTGTATGCAATAGTGTACAATTATTGTTCATGCTAAGTTTTAGTTTTATTCTACATGTAAATTTTAAGTTAGTTATCATTACAGGGTTAATGTACCTTATTTTCATGCATTTACATCTGCAGGGTGAGGTATATAAAGTTCTTGATAAACTGATCAAGTCACAAGTGTACATTATATGCTAATTATATGCTAATTATAGTCATTTAAACACTTCAGTCAGATATCAATAAAAGTTGGAGAAAAATCATGTTAAATTTGAATCTTTCTAACTTTTACATAGTGATACAGTTGACGCTCAATAAGTCAAAATCGCCTTACTCAAAATTCTGTGTTAGTCAAAGAATTTCTCAAGTCCCATCAAATTTCCCTCTTTATCTTTCTACTTAAACTCTGCTTAAGTCAAATTTTGACTTACTGAGACTCCTATTTAGTCGAAAAGAGTTTTTGGTCCCGTCAATTAAAGTTCAACATATTTTCATTTCAATTTTGTTTCTGTACTTATTTTCAGCTAACATATTTTTTATGGTTATGTCACATGTCTATATATAAAATGTCAACAGTGATTTTATTACGTAATAACACACTCTTTTGGTCCTTCTATGTTTTATAGGGAAAATTGGGGGTCAAGTTAGAATTGTAGTTTAGTAGTAAATTACAAAAATCAAGCAGCTTACAGTACAGAGTCTGGTCAGACTGCATAGATGCTAATACTTGACTTTCTAGGATAGTGTGCATGTTTATACCTTGACTTTGTTGTAACTTACACAGATTTTGTTCCTAATGAATATGTTACAACAATAATTTATCAAATGTAATTACATGTATTACAATTTTCTTATAACATTATTGTATATTTACAGGATGGATTTTAATGACTTTTTGAAGAATTTTGATACAGTAGACATCTGTAATTTGACCCCTGACTCTCCAATAGACATGCCACGGCAGTGGCATACAACAGAATTTCATGGTAGATGGCTGAAGGGCTTCAGTGCTGGGGGCAGACCTACGCTAAGAGGTAGGTGCTGATGCTATCGGAAAATTTATGCTGTCATTCCAACACGGCTTTTATGAATGATATGCATGCTCAGGATGACATCATTTCTTTGTTAGGAATGAAGTTGTTAAGTCATACCCTACTACAAGAAAAAAGTGTTAAATGAAAATATGAGTTTTTGTTGCTTCTTTTTAAGATATGAATTATATATGATATGCAAGAAAAAGAACAAACATTGGTTGCAGTCAAAGACAGGAATATGTAGTCCTTGAGTAACTGTTTAACAGAAGCTTGGGAGAACCTTGTTACCACTAGGTTAAACAGTCACCATGATGCTAGATATTCCAGTATGTACTGGTAGCTGGTATGAGAATCTTGTATAATCAGATGAAGTTACATTTATAACATACTTAACTTTTGGTTTCTCCTTAAAATTTAAAGTTTTGATAAATAATAATATAGAATATTGTGTCATATTTATGTCTTATGATCTCCATGATAGTTTCTTACCAGAGATATAAAAACACTTGAAATGATATCTTAATGTGTAAGTGTGATTTTTCTTACATCTAATTAATAATTTAGTTTCAATGATTTTTAGATTCACATTGGTGCAATCCACAGTTTCGGGTATCATTACAAGATACTGATGAAGATGATGATAAAATGTGTAGTTTTATAATACAATTAATGCAGAAAGACAGAAGAAAAATGAAGAATAAAGGAGAGAGATTAGTGTATATAGGTTTTGTTGTATATAGAGTAAGTTCCCTTGTCTTTGTAAATCTGATTTGATACATTGTTTACCGTAACCCTTAACTTAATTCAACCCATAACTCTGCTTGAACAATTAGTAAGTGACCTTTGCCAGTATAGAGACAGACAAGCCTGCACATTCATACTGTCTCACCAGGCTCTATATTGTTGACTGATTTAAAAAAAAAATCTTGATATCCCCAAAATTTTGATAATTGTTAGTTAAAAAAAGGAAGCTGAACAAGTCTATTTAAGAAATTCAGCAGGTTATGGGTTAAAGAGCAGTGTTTTGCAAAGTTTACTATATTAAGATCTTATTAAATGATGTAAAAAAGTTAAATTGAAAACATACTGTAATAGCAACTTGTTTTATTGAAAGGAATATGTACATTTTTATCTTGTTGTTTGATTAGTTACCCATTTCTTTCATTTCAAATATTCCATAGACTTCAAATGCTTTCACCCTGAAATATTATATCACTTACTGTAAGCTATGAGTACACTTTTACTGCCCTTATATAATGCATATATTATTGGGTTTTTTTTGTTGTTTTTTTCAGTATATTTCAAATCATCCATTACCATTAAAACGTGACTATTTTGATCATAATGATCGTGTTGCAAACTGTGATATGTTCGTAAATTCTCGACAAATTATTCAACGATTAGTGCTGCCACCTGGTGACTATATTATTATTCCTTGTACATATGATGTAAATGAGGAAGCAGAATTCTATCTTCGATTCTTCTTTGAGAATAAAAACTCATCAGAGTAAGTAAGAGATTGTTTCTTTTCCTACAATTGTCATGATCTTTGTACAATATGTTTGTGATAGTTCAAAAAACTTTTCATTTTAGTATTTAGCAAATACTTAGTTAAAGGCAACGCTAATAGTATACAGCAGAACTACTAATTTCCTTTCTTTATAATCCAACTGTCATTGACAGGCTATTTAATTGGGGAATTTTTTGTCTGAATACTAATAATGTATCTGATGGGCATTCTACTTTTACAGTGATTTTATTACAGTGAGTTCATTTGTGAAAATACTGATTTTTCTCATACAAGACCTGAAACATGATTAACTGTCAATGAAATAAATGGGTTGTTTTATGTAACTGTTTAACAAATGTGTTTAGAGACTTGATGTTGTCATAACTTTGGTGCACATGGTATAATCATATATATTAACAATAATAAGTTATGTTTTATGATGATGTCAACATACAAGGAGGTATTTGGTATTTTTTTAAGGATAAAAAAAATTGTCTCTAAATATGAGAAAAAAAATATTCCATTTAAGTTATGTTATGTAATTACAATGTATAGCATTTGTATGTATTTAAAAACATTTTCCATGTATTATTTAAATGTATGGCATTCTGTTTCTGTTTAGCATTATAATTGTTATTGTACACCATTATATATATATTATTATGGGGGTACTTATGTACTGTTGTTAATGTTATTGTACGCCTATGGGAGTGCAGATGTTCTGTATAGCATTGTTAATGTTATTGTACACCATTATATATATTATTATGGGGGTACTTATGTACTGTTGTTAATGTTATTGTACGCCATTATATATATTATTATGGGAGTGCAGATGTTCTGTATAGCATTGTTAATGTTATTGTACACCATTATATATATTATTATAGGGGTACAGATGTACTGTATAGCATTGTTAATGTTATTGTATGCCATTATATATATTATAAGAGGGGTACAGATGTACTGGGGGGGGGGGTCCGTGGCCGAGTGGTTGAGGTTGTTGACTTCAAACCACTAACCCCTCACCGCTGTGGGTTCAAATCCCAACAGGTTTGGATTCTTTCATGTGAGGAAGCTAACCAGCTAGCTTACGGAACGTCGGTGGTTCTACTCAGGTGCCCGTATGTGCCTGAAATTATTCACGGAAGGGCACCTGAGGTCACCCTCCACAAGTAAAGCTGGAAAGTTGCCAAATGACCTATACTGTGTCAGTGTGACGTAAAACCCAATCAAACCAAACAGATGTTATGTTTAGCATTGTTTATGTTATTGTGCACCATTGTATATATTATTATAGGGATACAGATGTATTGTACAGCATTGTTAATGTTATTGTACACCATTATATATATTATTATAGGGGTACAGATGTACTGTATAGCATTGTTAATGTGATTGTACACCATTATATATGATTATAGGGGTACAGATGAGCCCTCAGAAAAGCTAGAGATCTCATTACCTCAACCACACCCAGACAAAGAACAGGAGGAACAGTTTAGACGCTTCTTTTATTCTGTCTCTGGAGAGGTGAGTTTATTACAGCAATATTTCTTCCATTCTGTAGGACTTGTATGTAACACTCAGATATAATCATAGGTAAAGGATATGAATTGCATAGTAAATGCAGGCAAATTTATTTTTGTTTAAAGCATAGTTTCAGTGTATTTGATTTTGTCAATGTTGCTGTAGTAATTGTTTATTGAATTCTACGGCTATTTCATTTGAGGATCCAAAAACCTTTTACCTTTATTAGTTGGGTATTGAATTATTACATTTCTGACAAGATTATGAAGAAGAATGTGATACTTTTAGTGACTATGTTACTATGTTGTAAGCTTATTCTCAACAACTTTTTATAAATCCAAGTTTAATCGTTAGTAATTAAATTTATACGAAATTGATAATGTCCTGTGCATCTTCTGAAGGTGCATTTTAAAAAGAAGAACATTCATAATTGATTTGCAAAAATCAAAATAAAATGTTATGATTTCTAGTATTGTTTTATTTAAATATATAACTTCAGGACATGGAAGTAAATCCTTTCGAGCTGTTGAAATCCTTAAATGATGGCCTCAAAAAAGGTTTGTATTTCTTTTAACAATTTGCTGGCAACTTTTTTGACATATGGTTCTGATTTCAATTTTTGACCTAAGTATTATGCTATAAATTATGCCATATACATGTATTGTGTATCTTAATAATTTTATAAAATTGTGTGCAAGAATATGGAGCCATTATTCAATTAAACTAACAAGTATTGACTTCAGATACATAAAAATGTAAACATTTAATGAGTTTCAATTATCTCTAGGTAGAAATATATATTAGATCTATGTATAAAAGTTGATAGAAACATTTTAAACCGGTAGCTTTTTTATGCATAATTATATTCATCAGAATTTATGTCAAATTATGTATCATTAAATCCTTTATGTCAAAATAAAGAAAAATAAACAAAATAACTTTGCATTTTGCAATATTTAGTGTATGATATGTAATTTACAGATTCCTTCCATAAAGACCTGAGTGTTGAGGCATGCAAGTGTTTTATATCTTTACTAGATGTTGATAACTCAGGAAAACTAGGATATACTGAATTCCTTTATCTCTGGAACCTTTTACGCTCCTGGAAAGTAAGTTGACAAATTTGTTACTGAAAATGATTGTTAATTTATGCAGAAATTGGTCCCAGAAAGAATTTTGCATTATCTAGTAGTTCAAATCATCCAGACAGACATTGTAACATCTCAGTGTTCTACGTTTACTTGAAGTGTATTCATTAAAATATCTAGTTGCCATGGCAAATTAATTGAAAACGCAAAATAATCACAAAAAACTGGTAACATTTTAGAATAAGTTTCACAAAAAGGATCATTCAGTGAGTGACATTTTAGAGATATTATTTAGGGAAATGAGTTCAGTAAAGGTCACTTTCCCTGTATATTCCAACATACATGTAGATATGTTCTTATTTCTTACATGTTTATTTTAACCAATATGTTGTGCGGTAAAATCTTAAAATAAAATAAAAGAATTTCAGTTCAATAATTTTATGGTGTTGTCATACAACCAATATTGTTGCCATGATTATCAGCTTTACTTCTTTAAAAAAACAACAACAGAGCTATTGTCATGACCCAGGTGTAGGCATTAGTGAATCTTTTTGTTTTAAATTTTCATTCATAATTATATAGTTGTTATCTTTATTACTAAGAATGCTATTACATGTACATGGAAACGTAACATGTGGATACATCTTGATGCATCTCTACCTATTATATTCATTTTAAGGTCAAAAGCTCAAAGATCACTGATACCTGTAATAACAAAACATAAAATTGGTCATTAGATAAAGTGAAGTTTACAAACCACCATTGAGGAAAGTGGAGCATCTTGCTCCTCATTTAGCTCTTGTTTTTTATGCCCCCGGGCATATAGTAATTGAACCGTCCGTCCGTCTGTCCGTACGAAGTTAACCTATAACGGCAAGTTGGATTTTTCTTAAGTTCTACCTGTACCAATGGCTTCATAATTGACATACTTACTAATCCATACAAAGTATATGATCTGGGCAAGTTACATAACTATGGCTTCCATTTGCACCAAGTTATGGCCCTTTTCAGCACTTAGAAAATGAATAATGGTTAACCTAAACTGGCAAGTTGGAAATATCTTATGTTCTATCTGAACTAATGGCTTAATAATTTTCACACTTACTTATCAATACAATGTACATGATATTGCTAAGTTATATAAATGTGCCATCCATTTTCCAGTAATTTCCCTTTTTATCACTTTGAAAATAGGGCCTTGTATGGTTAACCTATTCCGCCAAGTTGGATTTATAAAAAAATTTCACCTAATTACTTAATTTATTAAATGATATCTTTCATATTTGGTAGGTGGATACCTTTAACAGTCCTCTAATTTTTTGTGGCGTTAGGCGTCTCTAGGTCAAAGTCAAGGTCACTTGTGTAAAAAAATAAATCTTAACATTTCTGCTCATACAGCCTTTATTTTGAAGATAATGTCTTTCATGTTTATAATAGTCATACCAAGGGAGGTCCTCTTCCTTTACCTTTAGTAAGGGGTCATTTGGGTCAAGGTCACCAATGTCGAAAATAGATTTTTTACACTTTTACAGGTGTATTAACCTTATGTGTGTATTTGCGTTTATTTATACTCGCCACCGGTTGCCCATATGGGCGAGCCCTCCAGAAGAGTATTAGTCATTTTATTTTTCGGAGGATAGTGCAATTACAGATACAGAAAGATGCCCCAGTTCCAGAAGCTTCTCCTGGTTCTTTAGCGTGCCAAGTGTTTAAGCACCCATACACGGGACCTCGATTTAAAGTCTCATCCGAAAGACTGATTAGTAATTTTAGTTGGCCAGCCCGGGAATCGAACCCACAATGTCGAGATTACAAGTCTCGCGCTCTAACCGATTGAGCTATGCGGGCTGGTATATTAACCTTATTCTATCGACAGATGTCTTGTTTATTTTGTAGGAACATAAAATTGAGGTATTCTCATTTAGATGGAGATAGGGGTCAGTTGGGTCAGGGTCACCAGTGCTGAAAATAGATTTTTACACTTTTGCTCGTACAGCCTTTATTTATTGACAGATATGTATTATAATTGGTAGGAAGATAAATTACATGGTATTCTTCCTTTGGATGGAGTTAGGGGTCAGTTGGGTCAAGGCCAACAGTGCTAAAAATAGATTTTTACACTTTTGCCCATACAGCCTTTATATATTGACAGATTTATTTCATATTTGGTAGGAAAATAAGTTGCATGATATTCTTCCTTTGGATGGAGTTAGGGGTCAGTTGGGTCAAGGTCACCAGTGCTAAAAATATATTTTTTTACACTTTTGCCCATACAGCCTTTATTTTAAATATTGTTACTGACAAGAATCTGAGCTGGGGGCATTTGTGTTAAACAAACACGTTCTTGTTTAATGAATTCATTTATCATTTTTCAGAAACTATTTTATCAGTTTGACAGTGATAAATCAGGTCTGATGAGTTCTTTTGAGTTAAGGAGAGCATTACAATCTGCAGGTAACTAGTTATTTTAAAGTTTATATTTAAAGAACATGTGTATGCAGGTATGTTTGACCATAACTTTATTAAAATAGTGAACTTTTTATGCCCCCACCACTTACAGGATGGGGTAGGGGAAGGTGCATATAGATTTATCCTTTTAGTCTGTCTTGCTGTCTGGAGACTGCATGTAACTGACAGATTTTTGTGACAAAACAGTGGAATGCTGGGGCAACCGTGTTCTATGTATACATTTCTAGATATTGAAGATATGCTTGTATGTAACATAACAATTGCTAAAATTGAAAAGATTCTAGGGGTTTGGTTCTGGTGTCTGTATCTTTATTGAGTGTGTAAGTTGATCATGTATTGAAAGTATATAACCATACCTTATTATAATCTTTATATTTTTAAGTTGATTTTTGATTTTTCCAGGAGTAAAGCAATGTTATTTTAATGTTTATTTTCAGGTTTCAAATTAAACAGCAGTACCTTAGCAGCTCTTGTGTTCAAATATTCCAATGTCCACAATCAAATTAGTGTAGAAAACTTTTACTGTTGTCTTGCCAAGCTAATGAAACTGTTCAGTAAGTATTTACACTTGTGTTAACACATATAAAAGACAGTATTTTAGCAGTACTCAAGTGTTGATACAATTATGTGACAGAAATTCTTACACAAATTGTGTCATCATAAATGAATGACTAAAAGGTTGATGGTACTACACTTGTGCTAACAAGAATTTATTAACAGCAGATAGCGGAACAATATTTACATTGGTTTACTGATTTAGTGAAGTTTTCCTTCTGAAAATAACTCAAAAACTGTAAAAGAACATTTTATATTGAATGTGGTGCAGTATAATATCTTACCAATGATTTTTAAAAGGTCAATTTATAAATTGATAAAAATGTCAAATTAATTTTCATTTAGAACTACAACAATTAAATGACTTCATTATTTTATTATTTTTCAAATATGTTGCATATGTACAAACAGTATGGTCAGATAAAAAGGCTCTGAATAACTCACTTTATTCAATGTGTAACATTTGAAATGTTTGATTATGATGTATAATATGTTTCAAGAAAACTTCTGTTTTCATTTCAGATATTTATCAGAAGTTTAGGAAAAATGGCCATGCAGCTTTTACAATAGAAGAGGTAAAGATCAAAGTTGCTCAAATTAGTTTATTGATTCAAGATTTTTTGAAGTGTCATACTTGTAAATAAATTAATTTTGTTTTATATACATTGTACTACACTACATTGAGTTATTAAAGTCTCTTACCTGTCTGAAATAATCAATTTGAAATGGTTTGCAGGATGTCATTTTCAGCATTAAAGCTTGTCAATCACTATAATACCTTTATGAGCATGGTAGAACAGCATTTATGAAATTTTTATTATATCACATTTAAAAAATGGCTTTAATACCTCACGTGTACAGGTATTTTTTAAATAGAAAAACATTTTCTCATGAACCAAGGGACAGAATTTTATCAAACTTTGTGACTTGGTATCATGTATAGACAAAATTAGTCCATTCTTTTGCAGTCAACAAGAGCTGAAATTAAACCACTTGCAATGTAGAATATTTAACGAGGTAATTTTTCCTGATAAATATTGCTATATCGTTGTAAAGACAACTTATAAAGTTTTTTTCTGATTATATTTCAGTGGTTGGAACAGTCTCTTTACACGTGAGAGATGGAGAGAACTAAATATGTGAGAGATCTTGTTTTTAAGGACGGAATTACTATCCTGACAATGAAAGTGCTCTTCAGTGACTTCATATTTGACTTGAAATGGCAGCTATATACAATCAGATCATGAGATTTTATTATTTTCAATACTTGTGTTGTTGTAACGACATTATGTAGGTCTTGACTGGACTGTCAGATTTCTAGACCGATAAATATTTTGGTGTTTGAAGAATCTAGACAGAGGAAAGTAGACTACATATTTGTTGTGTAGATTATACCTTCTTTTATATTCTACTCTTCCAGACAGAATGGTTATAGATACCTATTTTAGCTAGTAGTATATAGCCTGATTGAGAGGTTGATAGACTGGTTTGGAGAATTTAACTACTCAGTAGTAAATAGTCTGGTTTAGATGGTGCTTTATACTTAACAAAAATAGGTGGCCAGTAGATGTTTTTATGATTACATTGTATTTTACTACAGTGTTAAAATATTGGCAGGACCCATGGTGAGCTTGTAGAAATTCTTCATGTATTTTGCTCTAAAAAGACTTTATGTCATGCCCATCTGTTAAGCCAAGTAAGAAAGGCTTCTACAGAGTACACATAGATATACCAATCAAAGGAATAGTGTCACCATTACAATGCTGTAAGGGGATAATCGTCCGTTAATAGCGTTCTAGGGTAGTTTATAATAAAAACTTGACAATAAGATTATATAAAAATGTAAAATTTCTGGCTACAATGTATATTATTTTAGATTTTTTTTTCATCTGGACTTAGATCACCGGGACAGATACCTTATTTCCGGGACTTTCCCGAACATCCGGGACGTTATGGCATGTATGATTACTATGAAACATACTTTTGAAATTATCACTTATTGCAGCTTTTTAATGCATTTAAGGTGATGCAAAAATTTGGTTTTATTACAAATATGATTGATCTTACCAGTAGAAAAAAAAACCCATACTGGTCTCAAGAGAACCAATGGAAGCAATTTAAGGGGTTTTATACAAAAGTCAAGATTTCAGAAGGGGTAAAATCTTAATTTGCTAATTTGTATGCTTTAAGTTTTAGTTTTTTGATATTGTGTGATGTTATGGAGATTTTATAACATTTTTAGTCAAAAAGTCTTAACTGTACAGACTTTGATATTGTATACATATTCTATACAGTGGTTCTTTACATGCCTTTTAGACTATTATGCTATTTATGTTTCAAAAGATAGCCAAGTGAAAGATTTAATTTCTTAGAATTGTATATTGTAGATGTTATTTATTTCTTTTGAAATGTTTTTTTCTTCTTTTTTCTTGATCAATTTTTATAATGTTTTACATTTAGATTATATGATTTTTAAATGAGTCTGAAATTTGTGCATGGATTTTTTAGAGCTGTGAGCAAACATGGAAGACTCTGTTTATGTTACAAAATTGTGCTACATGTATATTTCTACAACAGAATATTTTACTTCAAGTTAACATATATTGTAACATTGACACATTGCAACAGTAAGTGAAGCACAATGGATAGTAGGTTGTTGTTGTTGTTGTTGTTATGTTGTGCTATGAGTGTTTTCCATTCAAACTTTCTTTCAAAATAACGAAACATTTAATACGATTTCAGTTTTTTGATATTTCAGCTTTATTAGACATGTGTTCAGAAATGATACAGTAGGTATATCTAATTTCAAGTGTGGTAATATCATGGTTAAAGTAACTTATGTTTTAAGTGTATACATGTTAAATATTTCTATAAGAAAAAACGACAACAAAGTCAGAAGAGATAAAAACAATGTGATTTTGATTCAACATATTTGAAGCGTCCTATTAAATATTTTAATAATTCCTCTCATTAATGCAGTAACGGACTAACTCTTATTGAATTATATAAGGAGGTAACCCTTTACTGCACTAAGGTGGTGATATGTTATATAAATTTGAAAACTTTTGTTAATGATTATACTATTGTTGAAGTATGTGTTGACACTGCCAATTATTAAAGATAGCAATTTATTTATATATGTATTTTATTGTCACAGAATTTGAATTCAACCATATATGTACTGTAGTGTTAACATTGTAAAATTTGTTTTATCCTATCATTAAGTTCTAACTAAGCATTCCATAATTCAATATGAAAGTTGAATATTTTTAATTTTGAAATAGAAATATACTTTTACAATGAGATAGTTTGTTGTATTCTTTATGGTACCAAACTGTTCATTCACTCCCATTCCCTAATATGTTATATATGTAATGAAAAAAAGAGTCTGTCGAGATTTTGAATCTAGAAATACGACAACCCGTAGGACCTTTGGCACTTTATCAACGTTAATATCTTATCCACCAAAGCGGTAGATATTTGTCTGTTATATAATATTAAAGATAGTTTTGAAATAAAATGTACAGGAATGTTCTCAATAGCCTCAATTTTGACATGACCACAACTGAAATAAATTTTGTTTTGGCAATGGTACGAACCAACGGTAGTCAACCTGAAACAATTTGAACTAGCTCTGCACAAGACTGGCAAAATTTACCTCAAAATCGAATCATAGGTCTTACTGGTAGTATGAGGAAAAGGTTTGAGGTTGTCATTCAGGCACGTGGTGGTTACACACGGGCTACATAATGTTATTTTAGGTTACGTAATCGTTAACATTTATTTGAAATATCGCACTTTTCTAAAGAAGTGTGCATTATCTGAGATATCGCATTGTGCGTTATTTCCAATAAATCATGTTACTGGCGTATAACACTCACTATTTTCAAAGCGTGTTGAACATTTTCACAACAAACACTGTTAGTACAAAATGTTCCACGTGTATTGTTCTATGGTGGTGAGCTTCAAAAGACAGAAATATGAATTATTTATAAATTGGATAACTTTATTGCTGTCAAAATCCAAATATATAGAGGATATTTGTTTGTTTGTGTGTAAGATGAAATTTTATTTCATCGAGTGGGCTTTAAAAACAGTATTCTCACGAGTGGCGTAGCCACGAGTGAGAATACTGTTTTTAAAGTTCACGAGATGAAATAAAATTACATCTTACACAACAAACAGACAAATTTTCTTTTTATTTTATGCTTAAAAACAAGTTAAAACGAAATTTCCATGATTTTAAGTTAATATTAAAATCTGTTTTTATTACTTTTAACATTTTAGTTATTTATCAATTTCAGCTTTGCTTTTTCTTTAAACAGCCGGACATTGTCAGAATTGTCAGCAAAAATAAAATTGAGGTACCACATGGGGAAAATCTTAAAAAAGTAGTTTCGTCATTGAAAAGAGTGAAATTATATTTTGATAATTTTCACTGTGAAATTACCAAATATAATTTTCACGGATAAATCAGTAATCCACTGAAAAGCATAAAATAAATTATGTTTTCAAAATAGAATACTGTATAAGCAATTTTAATGACTTATTCCTTTACATAACACAACTACATTAAAATATGAAATAGTTATTACAATGCCGAGCATACTTGCTAGAATCTAATCTAATAAGACAATGAGACAATCTTTAGACAACTCAACATCAAGTTTCGACATAAGCACACTTCTGTTTTGCTTATTAAGACACTTATTACACAAATTAACCCTATACTTGGACAAAATAACATGTCATTTTGACAAAACAACAATGACAAAAACAAACACAAAAAAACAAACAAACAAACAAACAAAAAATCCCAACAAAACCAGGCAGTTTTAAGGCAAGATAATTCCTAATTAAACAAAACAACATGGAAGTCTGACAAAATAAGACTTTGTTTAGACATGTCAATAAATTGTACAACATTCGGACAATACAACTAATAAAACAGTTTTTAGACAAGTCAGAACCACATTTGGACAAGATGACACCATTAGAAGTGTTTAGACAAGTCAACACAACATTGTTAAGTCCAAATCGCAATTCGAAAAAATAACATGAATGTTAGACATAATAGATCATCCTTTAGGCATGTAAACATCGACTTTGGACAAAATAACATTACCATTCGGGACGAACAAATTAGCTGAATTTATATCCGCCGCCGAATACTAATAAATACTTATCGCAAAAAAGTGCACGAAAGAGTATGCACAAAATCCCACTTCAATCCCTTTAGGTATTGGTGGTTCCTATAACGTCATGTTAAAATCCAGTCAGCAGATTGAAAACAAATTTTAAGCTATATACATACCGCATAACCACTCGTGGTCCATAATGTGTTATATGGTCTGACCGGAACATACGAATGGAATGCGCATCTCGATTTGATAATGAAGATCCCACAAAGTCTCGTTGAAGTTCTATCAGTAGTTGCTTAAAAATAGCGCGGAAATGAAATTTACTTTGTATATTTACTGCATAACCAACCAGGGGCCATAACTCTTGAGTGGTTCCACCGTCTCGTGCAAATGAAATGCGCATATGTTGGTATTGGAAGTCCCAAAAATATTTTATTGAAATCCAGCCAAAATTTACTGAAAAATAGCTTGGAAACGAAATTCGGACGGACGGACGCACATGGACGGACAATTTGCCACATTCTTCTATGGTTTCGGAATAAACTCCATTGTTTTCTTTTTTTCTGATAACAGTTATATGACCCCCTATTTTTCGGTATTGCGGACATAAGGACAGGGACGGACAGTCAGGCAGGCAGACGGACGGGCGGACAACCGACAACGATAGCCCTTCTCTAATAAAAATAAGACAGCGTTTAGCATATTTGACATAATATAATAGGACAAAATGTCAACAAAAACGTCAGCAAGTCAACACTGCTGTAAGATTCAAACAAATTACTATTAATATAACCTATATCTTCCAATCTCTTGTAATTTGTGAGAATTTATCCATATCCTTACCTTAAAAAAATCTGTTTTAAACAGTGCATAAGCACGTAGTCTACAGCATTTTTCAATTCATCCATAAATAGTATTTTAAAATTATTCAGCAGTGTGTGTACAATAACATCTAAATTCTTATCATTATATTGACATTCAGGTATTTTATTCTAACACTATCGAAATTTTTTCTATATAAACCAAGAAGGCCCGCTACAACAATGCACTCGCCGTTCTTATTATCCCCCCTGCGTATTTTCACATTGAGGGCGCCATTTTGTTTGAAAAATCTGATAAATAAAAACAATTTTTTGTCGAATTTTGTTGTATAAACTATCTAGAATTAAAGAAAATTGTCTAACTAAGAAAATGAATCCCAACAATATCTTAAATTCAGTCGTTAACGCTGTACAGACGTTTAAAGTGTTGTTTACGTGACGTCACAATGTAGCGCCAAACAGAACATGCAAAACAATCAAATCAAGTACGCTATTTTAATGTCGCAAACGAGTTAGTTTTACTCTTATTTCACCCGTAATAGTTTGTATTTCGCTTGGAAAATTATAGACTGAAATAAGCAAACAAAGTTTTATCAACGTTTTCAAAATTCGTTATTCTTACACACGGTAAAATTAAGGACAGTGTTTTTTCAACCCACTGGAACAGCCATTAAAGAACCTTTCTATTGGAAACTCTTAGGCGGAAACAAATTTAACCACCAAACATAAAGTCCAACTTTATAATAATAATTATACTTTTTTTTCTTGACGTGTTAGAATGGCAATAGATATTAATTCTTCAATAATGCACGTTTTTCGTTCAAATGCTTTGTAATTATTCACTCAGGCCTATCGGCCTTCGTGATTATATTACTACGCATTTGAACTCAAACCGTGCATTGTTGTAGTGCATTGTTCTACAACAATGCACTCAGAATTGATATCTATTGCCTAAATAGTATATAGAAAACAATGGATAACTGTTTTTTTTTTAAATTGTACAACCTGTTACTTTCAACATAAGCATTTTTTAAAAGCTCACTAAATGTAGATTTTGTTAAACTTGTATACTTAATATAACTGATAATGCAATCAAAATGTAAAACGAATTATTTTAACCTGAGGGGAAGCCCTACTTTCGCTTTCGATTCAGATTTGTATAACAAAATATTGTGTGGATTATATTTTTATGTTTAAAGTTTACATTTAAATTAATTTGAACTATAAATTCAACCCTGATTTAGTGAAAGTGGTTATCATAAGACACCAACTTTGTACTGAACTGGTTAGGGCAAGGGAGGAAGCGCCAGGGAAGGAACTAGTAAAAAAAAAAGAATAATCCGACTGCCAGTCCAAGGCATGCTAAAGGTACTAAAAGTGATCTCTAACATTCTCATCAAGGTATTTAAAAATCTACTTTATAGAACTTTATAGAATTATGTTGTCGGTAAACTCTCAGTAGTTTTCTGATTTGTCTGAGGCAATTTTGAGAATGATTCTTTTTTTTGATTTTGTGACATTTATAGTTATTATACATGTATGTCAAGGTTGATTGAGACAAAGGTTGATTTTTACCTATATATTTATCTATTTTTCTATATTTGAAACATTTTAATCATGCACAAAAATGACCTGAAAAAACCTCTGTATAACATAAACTCAAATGAGTGTGGTCTGCTATGTATACTTATTAGGTTAATAGTTGATCATGCAATTTGAGGAGATTTATAAACAAGGCAAATAATAAAAGGTTTATTCTTGTATTATGCTCATGTGTTGATTTTAATATATCATACTCAGACTTTCGTGCCTCTTGATATTGAATACAAATTTCAGATCAAGATTACCCCTTCTGTAATAACCTAATATATCATATGGGAAAACAGAAACATTTTTTTTGGGGGGGGGGGGGGGGGGGGGGGGCGAATAAATCATTCAGAAATCTGCATACATGAATTCCAGTAATCTAAAACAGTTTGTATTGGCTGCATATCTATTGTAAACATTTGTGATGGACACTATCAATATTATTTGAGTTAGACAAGATGGTAAACTTGGCTTGCAGATATAGGATATATTAGCAGTAAAAACGGCGGAGCAATGTTACTAGTAATTTAGGTATGGTCTTCTGTAAAAAAGTGTAGAAAGAATCATTAAATAATTTACTGGTTATTAAATTAATAGACATTTTAGGATTTAAAAGTTAATTTTGACAAAAACAAAGTTATTTGGTCTCAACTGGGTTACTGATGAACAAAGAATGATAACTCCTACTGTAGGAAAGATTACTGTTGTTCAGTCAATATTCCTTCCATTATGTATAGGTTAGTGTTTGCTGTCATCATTAATGAAATTAGATATATCAAGAGTGACAGATTTTGTAACATAAATGTTGATTTCACAAACACTATCCTACTTGACCCCTACTTAACCAATGGCTCTTTAGTGATCTTTTTATATGTGGGTTCTTGACACTCCCGTTGTAAGGTCCTCGACCAAAAACAAAGCTAAAAAAGGTTAACACACTTTCTAAAAATATTTGTTTTTAAAGGAGTTGCGTGTTTTTTGTTTATTTTAAATAAACCCATTACGCGATATACACGCCTGTTTGAGAAATTTTGTTATTCTGTTTGGGGGGTTTGAAGGGGGGCGGAGTCCCCCTCATCGCCAAGAAAATTTTGGACTTGTGAGAGGCTATAAATGACCCCAGATTGATCATAAGGTAACGTGTAACCAACACTGAAAAGCATTTCACTCTATCTCAATCCATTGAGAAGTTGCAATACTTTGAAATCAATTTTGATGGAAAAAATCAACGCAAAATAGTGATTTTTGGCAATTTTGAGATGTCCCCTCGTTGCCATGGTAACAGAAGCTTTAAGCCTGAGCATGTTGTTGCAAGGGAAATGGTCCAGTCAACATTTGTGCCAAGTTTGATTAGTGTTGAAGCAGTTTTTATAGTATTATAGCAATTTGAACTTGTAACGGGAGACTTTTCAATGAAAACAGCCATTTTTCACAAAATGCTCATGAAGTAATGGGTTGATGAAAATAATAAAAAAATCTACAAAACAACAATTTTCTTCAAATTTATATGACAGGCCATGTTTAAACATGGAAAAAGCGATTTTGGGTAATTCAAAGTATTTTCATCATTTTCTGTTAAAAGAATGCTATGCCACGTAAAACATTTTTCTCATCATTTTGGATGCAGATTCGATACGAAATATCCCAAAATGTTGTTGCTAGAACTTTAACCAAATATCACCTCGGAATGAAATCATTAAAGATATGTGTTCACGTAAATGAATATTGTTTGAAAATGAATATTTTTAGAAACCCTTTTCAGCTTTGGTTAGATCAGAAAAAATGTGAAAGAGCTTGTGATACTAAAAAGTCTTTACACCTTGCAGCGGCGTGAAGTTGGCGGTTCAGCGGACTTCGGCATGGCGGCGTGAAGTTGGCAGCCTAGTGGCTCAGCGGCCTGGCTTGAACTTTAAAAATAATACAAGTTTGTCAAAGAAAAAAACGACTCTTAATATTAATTTTCAAAGACATATCTTACCATTTAAAAGTTACATAAAGAAAAAAAAAACATTTTGACAGTTTCTTTGCGATCTGGCAGAAATTTTAATGTTGTAAAACTGTTATAAATATGATAAATAGAGACTTAATGAAGTTCTGAAGACTATTCTTGATATTTAAAAGGTATATAAAAAGAAAAAAATCACTTTCAAAAAACTTTTTATTTTATCAATTTGTGAAGTTGGCGGCCGCCAAAAATTTAATGTTGTATAAATGTTATTCAAATAAAAACGGCATTTATTGAAGTTCTAATTTAAAGGATATAAAAAAGAAAAAAAAACACTTTGAGAACACTTTCTTATTTTATCATTTTTGTGAAGTTGACGGCCTGGCGGCCTAGCGCCCTTAAATTTTAATGTTGTAAAACACTTAAAAACGGCTCTTAAGTAACTTTAAAAGTCATATCTTATCATTTTAAAGATAAATATAAGTAAAAAAAAACACATTTAGAAAGTTTTTTTCACAAGCAACCTGGCTGCCGGAAATTTTACAGTTGTAGAAATGTTATAGATATGATAAAAACGCGACTTTATGAAGTTATTAAGACTATTCTTGATATTTGAACGGTATATAAAAAGAAAAAAAATCACTTTCAGAGAACTTTTTTATTTCCTCATTTTTGTGAAGTTGGCGGCCTGGCGGTCAAAAATTTCAATGTTGTAGAAATGTTATTTAAACAATAAAACGGCATTTAATTAGGTTCTAAAGACAATTCTTGTTATTTAAAGGATATATAAAAAGAAACAAATCACTTTGAGAACACTTTTTTATCTTATCATTTTTGTGAAGTTGGCGGCCTGGCGGCCCAGCAGCCGGGCGAGAAAACATTTTAATGTTGTATAAATGTTATTTAAACAATAAAACGGCATTTAATGAAGTCCGAAAGACAATTCTTGTTATTTAAAGTATATATAAAAAGGAAAAGTTAACTTTGAGAACACTTTTTTATCTTATCATTTTTGTGAAGTTGGCGGCCTGGCGGCCAAAAATTTTAATGTTGTAGAAATGTTATTTAAACAATACAACGGTATTTAATGAAGTTGTTAAGACAATTCTTGTTTCTTAAAAGATATATAAAAAGAAAATATCACTTTGAGAAAATTTTATTATTTTTTTTGTGAAGTTGGTGGCCTTGCCGCACAGCGGCGTAAAAGTTTACGGTTATAGAAATGTTATAAAAAGAAATGGTATTTAATGAAGTTCTTGTTATTTAAAATATATATAAACAAAGGATTACTTTGAGATATCTTATATCATTTTTGTGGATGTAGCATATATATGGTTTGCCTGGGATTCAGGCGTTGATATTTTTTGCATTCATAACATGCCCGTTATTTCATACGTATTTGTGTTTTTGATAATATCAATTTGCCAAACAGAAGCACATAAAAATTGACAGACTGGAACCTAGGCTAATATATGGTGTACAATTTCTGTAACAACTATGAATGGTCCTTAATGGAGTTTCTAAACAATATTTTTCGGGTCCCATCAAATTTATTCTCCCCGTCAAATGATGAGTATAGGTCAGGTAATCATCCTTTACTTACTTTACAAATAACTTTTGCTAACACATTTATTAACAATAACTCATGATTGTAGCATCATGACCATACCTGCTATTGGATGAAACTGAAGGTTGAAAAATGGATAAATGGTTGGGATTCTGATTCTAGCACAAGTGTAAATTAGTCGTTATTCTACGGTGGCACAAATACGGTGGCACAAAGGTGACATGTGTGTGTTTTATTTATCTCGTGGCCACGAGATACTATGTCGTGGCCATGAGTTACTAAGTCGTGACCACGAGATAGTTAAGTCGTGGCCACGAGATACTATGTCGTGGCCACGAGTAACTATGTCGTGGCCACGAGATAGTTAAGTCGTGGCCGCGAGATACTAAGTCGTGGCCACGAGTCACTATGTCGTGGCCACGAGTTACTATGTCGTGGCCACGAGATGGCTAAGTCGTGGCCACGAGATACTAAGTCGTGGCCACAAGTTACTATGTCGTGGCCGCGAGTTGCTAAGTCGTGGCCACGACATAGCTAAGTCGTGGTCACCAGATACTTTGTCGTGGCCATGAGATACTATGTCGTGGCCACGAGTTACTAAGTCGTGGCCACGACATAGCTAAGTCGTGGCCACGAGATACTATGTCGTGGCCACGAGTTACTAAGTCGTGGCCACGAGATAGCTAAGTCGTCGCCACGTGATAAATAACCAATCAGATTACACCATTTGTATGAATTTCCCTAATTAACTAGACATGTGCTATAGTACAAGGATGTCCCTACTTCACTAGCCTGTAAAAGTTCCATTTATACAACTTATTGACTGGTCAATAATTTTACATTTAGCGTCACTATGATCCTGATTTTTTACCCAATGACCTCGAAATTATTAGATGTCATCTTCTGATCAGGTGCAATGATCATCCTGGGTTATATAAACCATGGCTTATCCCTACTTGATTATTCATCAGACAAAGATTTAACTTATAGGCTTTCCACGGGCAATGTCCCTTCCAAATTAAATAAACTCGTGGCCACGACTTAGCTATCTCGTGGCCACGGCTTAGTAACTCGTGGCCACGACACATAGTATCTCGTGTCCAAGACTTAGCTATCTCGTGGCCACGACTTAGCTATCTCGTGGCCACGACATAGTATCTCGTGGCCACGAGTTAGCTATCTCGTGGCCACGACTTAGTAACCCATGGCCACGACATAGTATCTCGTGGCCACGAGATAAGTAAAACACACACATGTTCCCTTTGTGCCACCGTATTATTCGGGTGAAAAATCGTTGCTAGG